ACAGTTACCGCCTGCCTCGCCTCTCCCTGCTCCCTCTCCTTACGCTGGTCCCACAGGAGGTCTTACAGAGCGTCGTGAGCCTGAGTCTCGTCCAGCGTCGCCTGTTCGTCCTGCTCGCACTGGTAGTCGTGTCCGTCGTGAGCGTCCTCCTCCTGTCCCAGGCACTCACTACATGATCCTGCGTCCCTCTACTGCTCCTCGGGGTGTCCCTCTACCGTCTCCTCCTGCGTCCTCTTTGCCTGCCGTTCCGGACCCTGAGTCTGACCGGTATCGCGCTGAGCACCCTACAGTCACGCGTCTCCTAGCTACTGTTGTCACTGACCCTACCTTTGAGTCCTCGGCTGCGTCTGCTCTGGTCGCTGAGTTGGTTGACTTTGCTGCTGCCTGTCGTCTAGACTACGCTGCTAGCCTTGTTGCTGAGTCAGAGTCTGTGTCTGTCTGTCCTCCGTCCGTCGGGGGTGAGTGTGCTCTTGGCACGGACGTCCTTGAGGACATGCAGGAGGACTTTGACTCTCTTGCGGCTGCTGTACCTCATCTCGTGGCCTGGTTGCTTGCCCCTGAGGGAGACCCGGATGCACTAGACATCCCCACTCCGCGCACTTACGCAGAGGCGATCTCGGGTCCCTACTCCTCTCAGTGGCAGACAGCCATGGACGCAGAGATGGCATCCTGGAAGTCCACAGGCACCTACGTCGACGAGGTTCCCCCTCCTGGGGCGAACATCGTCGATGGCATGTGGATTTTCAGGGTGAAGCGGCCGCCAGGGTCTCCGCCTGTCTTCAAGGCTCGTTACGTTGCTAGAGGCTTCAGTCAGCGTCAGGGGGTCGACTTCTTCCAGACCTTCTCCCCCACCCCGAAGATGACCACTCTTCGGGTTCTGCTGCACGTTGCTTCTCAGCGTGACTACGAGCTTCACTCTCTTGACTTCAGCACAGCGTTCCTGCAGGGCAGCCTGCACGAGGAGATCTGGCTGCGCCGCCCACCTGGCTTTACTGGGTCATTTCCCCCTGGTACCCAGTGGAGTCTCCGCCGGCCAGTCTACGGTCTCCGCCAGGCGCCACGTGAGTGGCACGACACACTGAGGACTACACTTGCGGCTCTTGGGTTCGCGCCGTCTACTGCTGACCCGTCGCTGTTTCTGCGCACAGACACGTCGCTGCCGCCGTTCTACATTCTCGTGTACGTCGACGACTTGGTCTTTGCTACTGCTAACACTGAGGCACTCGCTCGTGTGAAGTCGGAGCTGCAGAAGAGACACACCTGCACTGACCTGGGTGAACTGCGTAGCTACCTTGGCTTGCAGATCACTCGGGACAGAGCTCGCCGCACCATCACCCTGACTCAGTCACACATGGTGCAGCAGGTCCTTCAGCGCTTCGGCTTCCAGTTCTCCTCACCACAGGCCACACCTCTGGCTACCAGCCACTCGCTCTCAGCTCCACCTTCGGACGAGTCCGTAGAGCCGAGTGGCCCGTACCCAGAGCTTGTAGGCTGCCTCATGTACCTGATGACTTGCACGCGACTTGACCTCGCGTACCCTCTTAGCATCCTTGCTCGTTACGTTGCGCCTGGGAGACACAGGCGAGAGCACTAGGAGGCTGCTAAGAGGGTGCTGCGTTACTTGTGCAGTACATCAGGCATGGGGCTGGTGCTTGGAGGACACGACAGAGTTGTCCTCACTGGTCACTCGGACGCTTCTTGGGTGGACGACCTGGCTACGCAGCGGTCGTCACAGGGTTACACCTTTAGCCTTGGCTCTGGTTCTGTCTCGTGGCGGTCCACCCGCTCTTCCTCTGTTCTCGGCTCTAGTTGTGAGGCTGAGATCTACGCCACAGCCATGGCTGCACATGAGTTACGCTGGCTCACCTACCTGCTGACTGACTTGGGAGAGCGGCCTAGTTCTCCTCCAGTTCTGTACGGTGACAACAAGGCGGCTCTTGCCTTGTGTCAGGAGCACAGACTGGAGCACAGGACGAAGCACATTGCTCTTCGCTACTTTCTTGCTCGAGAGCTTCAGCAGCGCGGTCAGCTTCGGCTTGTGTACGTGGACTCGAAGGCCAACACTGCTGATATCTTCACCAAGGCGCTCCCGCCTAGTGATCATCAGCGGCACTGTACTTCTTTAGGCCTTGTGTCCACGTTTCCTCACTTGCTCACTGCTTGACATTCTTTGTACTGTACTTTATATATATCTTGTTGCTTGCTTGCTAGGTTTTGATCACTGTGTTGTTTGTCTTGTACTATATCTAGCACTGCATGTGAACTGGCCTTGTGGCCTTTACTTGTGCTCGGAGTGTGGTGACGTTGTGATCCACCCTGGGCTTTGCTTTGCTTTGCTGGACTGGTCTTGTGACCCTTTGTTCTCCCCCACCTTGCCTATGGGGGTGTGTTAAACTGTATTATGCTTGTAGGCTGTAGTGGGGTAGCCAATATGGGGTACAACCCCAACTAGGGTTTGCTACTTGTACCAAATTCTTCCATTCAATACACCATTCTTGCCTAGTTATTCTGAGAGGTACTTGTACTGATTTCACTGTTAGTTCAACCCATTCCTGTCCGTTGATTCTGACAAGGGCAAAGGACAAGTGGAAAAAGAGGGAAGAGAAAGAGTTGGTGGGTGACAAGTTGATTCCTGAGAATCAAGTTGATTCTTTCAGTTCCGTCTAGTCACAGCCATCATGCCGTGACGGTGTCGCTCCGTCAACGCGCATCCCACGCCCGTCGCCCATCCACCGTGAGTGCCGCAACAATTAGCCCGACGGGATACGCAGCGGGCCGACGCGGTACGCAGCACGGCGCAGTCGGGCCGGCAACTCCACCGCCGCAAAGGATTGCGCCCTCCGCCCTGCTACGCACGCGCCCATCCCGTCGCGCGATACGTCTTCCAGCACGCTACATTCCCGCCGCGCGGGATGGCATCTCCGGGCGGGGGGCGCTAAATCCCGCAATCCAGCGTCAATAAATGCGGGGGGAGTTGCGTACCTTCTCCGCCGAGACACGGCGCGACGAGAAAAAGCAGCAGCAGCAGCAGCGCCGCGAGCGACGAGCGTGCAAGGGGCGCGGAAGGCGCCATGTGCGCGGTACTGGGGGTCCTGGGCGCAGAAGACCAGCGCGAGGAGGCCACTGGTGCGGAGAGGAGGATGCTGAAGCTTAGAACCTAGACGCGCTGGGTGCATACAAGGGAGTACGCACACGTGATTCTAGTCGAATCAAAGGCACGCGTGGCCAGAGGCGGTGGAAAGCTTCGCCGAGTCGGGAAGGTTTGGGCAAGTGTGGTGGCTGGGAGCATAAACTTGAATCACGCTCAGGCTGATACACGACAACCCGTGCCCGAAATACGCGTTTTCAGTATACTAGCTAGAAGAATGAGCGGCGTTGCAAGTGAGAAGTGTGCAACGCAAGAAGTGAAGAAGTGTTATGACTTGGTGGGTGCGTCTACCTCGGTCCCTTTTAGGGAATTTGGTTGCAACTTCCGCTGTCTGAGAGCCATGAATTAATAGGCGATCTTATCGCTTTCAGGAGTTGTTCCGTTGCGGCAGAAATAGTTTCGCTCCGCCGTGTGTTGCGCTAGAATTCGTGAGTGGGGACAGGGAGGTCTGGAAGTTGGGCTAAGGTGGCAGGGATGAGCGACGGGAAGGACGCAGGTAGGAAGGAGCTAGTGGAGGTAGGGAATAGAGATACTCCCCAAATTCCCATACATATCCCAAGGTTTTCTCTGTTCCGTTTCCCTCTTATACAAATAAAATCACCGCCCCCAAAACAACCATGCTACAGTTTGAATGCTGACACCTAATAAATTAATAGCTGGCACGGTAACTTACAACAAATGTTTTTGGGTGCTCGAGAAAATCAGGTCTCCTCGTACCACAGCTCGCGCACTTCGCGGCGGCTCGATCGCGACGTTGCACGAAAGGCGGCAGGTCGGCACTAAAGGGGTGTTCAAAGTGCTGCAGGGTTTCCGACGTCGAACTTCGTCGAGGTTGTTGAAGAAGGTAGGTGGGCTGAAGGGTGCCATTTCCGTGTTCTAAGTACGCTTCAAAAAATGCTGACGCCAGCATCGCCGTTTGTACGGAATTGTGCAATGATTTGGGCGCAGAAACGGTCAAATTAAAAAGATTGAGCGCATCTGTACAAGAATGACAAGACCACGTCAGACAAAATTCTAGATTGGCTCGACTAGTAATTTCGAGCGTTGCGAAATATCACAACTCGTTTTGCGATTTTCGCAGCCAATATACGCACAACAACGAGCATGAAAGAACTTTGAAATTTCAGTTTTGGTCTCAATTCAATTGTTCAACGCTCACAATTCAATTGTTCAACGGTCTGAATTCAATTGTTGGACTGTTCTGGCCGGCATTTGTCCTCAGTGTCAGTTCGTCGCCGGCAATGTGTTCAAAGTGCCGCATTCGACGCCAAATCGACGTCGACCTCGACGTCGGTTGATGCCGAGGCTTCGACGTCGAAAGATGTGAATAGTTACTTTGAACACCCCTTAAAACATTTGAGTCAGGTTGAGTGACTCGAAATGTAGGTCCATTATAAGATCTCTCGCTCGCCCTCAGACTGTTCAACTGAATAGAATCCTAATTTGAAGTTATACCTGCTTATATCACTTTTATTCTGAGTAGGATGGGGGAGGTTGTCAAACAGGGGTTGAGGATACAACTGCCAATCATAATGTCCATTTTTGCCTAACGGAAAACGTATTCACTTAGGCTTCATATCTAAACCTACAGCCTCACCACACTCCATGTTAAAAATAGACCTAATGGACGAACAAGGTCACTTGGATTGGGAGCCAAAACACCTCCTTATACCTAGAACCATACATAACACATTATTGATAAATTTCACCATCCAGACATGGCAAAATAATTACTAGCTACAAAGAGTTTTTAACCGAGGGAAAACAAAAAACTGGGAAAGAGCACGCATAGCACACATGGATATGCACGTGGATGCATCTGAGTCACATGCACATGTTGTCTTTGTATGAGTCAGATGCACTTGTAGCCCTTGCAGCTGCGGACGAAGGGAATGCAGATGCGGCCCGGGCAGGACTTGAGCGAGCAGGCACGGCGCTTCTTCCGACACTTTGGAGGGGTGATTGGAGCTGTTGGCAGGGCAGATGGGGGGAGGACAGGGTGGGTGTGATGTGATGTGTGAGCTGTGTGTGCGTGTATGTGTGCGCGCGCACGAGCGCATGTGTTTGGCTGCATCCTTGAGTGTGGTATGGCATGCGTACATGGACACAGCTGACCTCTGACACATACCCACTCTTGTGTTTGTAGTGCACACGAGTCCCGCCTGTGAGATGTCAGCTCACAGAACCATGGCAACCTGGACATGCTTCCATGCTCGTTGCGCACTAACATACACTCAAGCATGTGCTCGTTGTACATACACATCCCCACATTCCGACTCCCCCTCCTCCTCACCTCTTTTCCGACCCTCCTCCCCCGTGCCTCCCTTGCGCCTTTCCAGACGCCTCAAAACTCCTCCCATGCTTCCCCTGTTCCCTCCTCCTCACTCTCCCCAACGCACGGTTGACATTGTAACGAGATGACACTTGCGTGCAATGTCAGAAGTCAAAGCTATATTGAGATCACTTTTGTGAAATTTCAAAAGTGATTTCCTGTCATTCTTTCAACCACGCATTGACATTGTGAGAAGGTGATATATCAGTGCAACATCAAGACTCAATGCCTCCCTTCTCCCCCCTCCCTACCCTCACGAGAGCACGAGTCGCAGAAGTCAGTGCAGGCACGGCAGAAGGCTGTGCCGGAGTACTGCACCACCTCGCACTCCCCGGAACCGCATGGCGTCGCCTCGTAGTTGACGTAGCTGAGTGTGAGACAGAGAAGAGCGAGCAGGAGGAGGGAAAAGGGGGTGGTCGGGGGGACAGATGGTGGGGTGAGATTTAGGGCTACAGTGTAAGCCTTTCCAAAACCAAAAAAAAAAAAAAAAAAAAAAGGCAAGGGGGGGTCAAGCAGTGGTACCACGCCCAAGAGGAGCAGCAGCAGCGGGGGTTCGGTGCAGTGAGGCGGTGAGGGGAAAATGGCAAGACAGGAGGGAGAATTTTCAATGTCGTACCCTGCCTAGGACTAGAGGCCACATGTCCAAACGAGATGCGGAAAGCGGCGTTGAAAAGCAGTATTTGTTAAGTGTTGGCGAAGGGGGAAGGGGATGAAGGGTGGGGTGACTGACAGGTACTGCAGATTAAGCATGGCGCCCATGGAGGCCGGGACAGAGCCAGTGAGTGTTGGTATTTGCAGGTCACTGAGTGAGGGTTGACATGGATAGTGGTATGCACAGCGTGTGAGATAGTGCATGGGGGCACGGTGGCACGGTGGAGCAACGATGCAGCAAACGGTGGGAGGATGGTGGCTTTTAAAGGGGAGATGGAGGTGCGATTGGCACAAGAAGAGGGCGATGCAAGGAGCAAACGAGATTATTATGGTAGCAAAGCATGAGAGGCGTGAACGAGACCATTATGATCAAAATTTGGTTTGATGGGGGATAAAGGACACCTGGTTGGGCTGGCTTTGATGCTCTATAGGACTCACTTTTGAGAATTCTCAAAACGAGAAAAGGAGGACAAATGCATTTCGAGATTTGAGATGAGCCTCAAGTGTTCTCAAGCGCCTTGCACATGTTACACATGTGTCTTGTTCCCAGGACGCATAGAAGGTCCCATTCGTTTTTTTGCCAAGTCAAGATTACAGGCGAGAGAGGTGTTGCATTTTGGTGATGGCGGTGGGAATTGTGCCCGATAGCAACGTGTAGCCTAGATCACTGGAGGAAGCGAGAAATGCGTGTGAGGGGGTGAGGGAGAGAGAGAGACGGAAGGGGGAACAATGCGAAGTAAACACTTGGCCTTTCAGCAACCGCATTGCAACCATGGGAGATTCAACACAGGAGCAAGGGTAATCCGTACAGCCCTTGAAGCTGACCTGTCCCCAGTGCCTCAGACTAGCCTATCACTGGCACCACACAGTGTGAGGGTATGGAGAGTAACCGTGGATTGCCTGTGGGACTCCCCCGTGTCTGCATGTACACATTCATTCCACACTTGCCACATTTCTCACTAATCACCAGTTTCTGCACAAGGCAGAGCTACATTCTTGTCTCGAGTGAGACACGCAGGTGTGTGTGCAACAGAAGCAACAGGTGCGTGGCTGTGAGGTGCACGGCTTATGTGATGTTAGTGAAGCTGACTGGTGTGTGTGGGTGGGAAGAGTATGAAGGTGTGCGAATGAAAGAAGAATGCGGGTGTGTGAGTGAGGGAAGCATACAGGTAGGTGAGGGAAGCGAGAGACGTGATGGAGGCAGGGATGCTGCCCGTGAAGTCGTTTCTGCTCAGCTTCCTGTGAAGATAATTGGCCGGGGAGGGGAGGAGAGGAGATGAGTTAATGTCAACACTCAGCCTTCTGCGGATATGGGTTGTGGGGGAGGGGAGGAAGTGAGGTGGAAACCTGTGCGCGCGCACAAGCGGACGCTAGCTGTACACGTGCGTGCATGTGGGTACCATGCAGAGCAGAGGTACCACGATGTGTTGACATCAGACACAGGCTGCATGTCACTCCACACACATGATCCCATGCACGCAGCTCTAAATAGCCGCAAAAAAAAAGTAACCCAGGAACTCGCATGCACGCATTTGCTTGCATGCACCCATTTGCTCACATGTGCTCCACTTGTGTCATCCGGGTGAGGACAGTCGGAAAGTCCTCCGAGAACTTGTTCTTGCTTAGGTCCCTGCCGTTTCCAACAGAGACAGGTGGGAAGTAGAAACGGAAGGAGGAGATTGAGGAAGGGGGAGGCGGAGGGAGAGCAAAAGAGACAGAGGGATGAGAGAGTGGAACAGAAACGGGGACTGATGAGCCACACTGGGTTGCCTCGCCTTTTGAGTCAACAAAAAATATAATTTATATATTCATATATATATTTTTATATATATATACATATATATATATATATTACTTCTGGGTCGACTCAAAAGCCAAGTATTCTCAACGACCAGCTTCCATGCAAACCACTGGTCCCATGCGCGTCCCTCCTACAAGCGCACAAACCCACTAGAGAGACCGGTGGACTTGCATGCACCGCCTACAGTTAGCGTGTCTCATGACTCGTGTCTCTCTGCTTGCCGCTGCTTGCCGCTGCGTGCGGATGCGTGCCGCTGCATGCCGCTGCTTGCCACTGCGTCCCATAACTGTATCATCAAGTACCGGGCCACTACTGACATCAAGCACACTCCAGTGTGCCGGAGCGTGGCACGACTTACATGAGCTTCAACGCCCGCAGAGCACTCAAGCTTGTGGGGATAGGAGACTCCAATGCGTTGCCGTCCAACAGCCTGGCCCGGGGAACAGGGGGGACGGAAGGTATGAAGCGAGAAAGCAGGGGGGTGAGAGCGGGAAGGGGCAGGGGAAAGAGGAGGGAACGGGGAGGAAAATCGAGCCTCTCAGTTGACCTATCACATCCTGTCGACCTTTGAGGTCCGCTTTTAAAATTGAGCTTCCCAGTATCATAAGGTCTTCCCAACTACTCTCCTGGTGACCGAGTTACCAAGTCCACCCCAGAGCCATTTGAGACTTCTCAGAAGTTACTTCTCGACCTCCCCAGGAGGAGGAGGAGGAGGAGGAGGAGGAGGGCGTGCAGGGAGAAAAGCAAAGATGAGTGCAAGCACGGAGGTGAGGACGTGGAGGAGGGGAGGGCACGTAGTGAGGGGATCACATACAGAGTGAGAAGCCGAGAGAGGCCGGAGATGGAAAAGGGGATAGCGCCTGAGAGGTTGTTGTTTGAGATCAGCCTAAAGGGGTGGACGGACCATCCAGGTGGGAGTCAAAGGGCATGGAGCATATTTGTGAGATGCTTGAAGCTGCCTGTTGTTGCAGGTGGGGGAGGGAGGGTGAGAGGGCGAGAGAGGGTCAGAGAGGGCGAGAGAGGGTGAGAGAGGGTGAGAAAGGGTGAGAGAGGGCGAGAGAGGGTGAGAGAGAGCGAGAGAGGGTGAGAGAGGGTGAGAAAGGGTGAGAGAGGGCGAGAGAGGGCGAGAGAGGGTGAGAGAGGGCGAAAGAGGGCGAGAGAGGGCGAGAGAGGGCGAGAGAGGGCGAGAGAGGGTGAGAGAGAGAGAGGACGAGAGAGGGCGAGAGAGCGTGCGAGAGGGTAACAAACGAGAAGAGAAAGTGACAAAGGAAAGGAAGTGAGGGCACAGGTGGCAGGAGACATTGCGCTGCGCCCACCTGCACATCGCACTCTCTATCACGCACATTAGGTGCATCACATGGCTCACAGGGTCGTGCTTTGAGTCGACTCAGAATACTGCACATCGCACTCTCTGTCACGCTCATTAGGTGCATCACATAGCTCACAGGGTTTCCAGACGAGGGAGTTCCCTTAGGGTGGAGGGAAGGTGCCCTGATATGGCGTTGCTGGATAACTCCCTGGGTGGTGCGCGGTGCAGAGGGGTGCAGTGCGAAGGAGGGGGTGGGGAAGGGGGGGAAGATGAGGGGGTAGAGTGGAGGGCGGAGGGATCAGGTGGGAGAAAGGAAAGGAGGGAGGAGAGGCGCGAGTGGCATTGGTGAAGCAGACACAGGGTGCGAGAGTGGTGAGAAGCTGCAGAGAGTGATAAGTCTAACAAGTGAGGGGGAGTGAGAGAGTGGGTGAGTGGGAGGGTAGGAGGGTGAGAGGGCGGGAGGGTGGAGTGTGAGAGAGGGCGAGAGTGAGAAAGTTGATTTGAGCAAAGTAGTTTTCGATGACAGTGGGAGGGTGGTTTCGGGAGGAAGGGGAGGGTCAGGGATGTGAATGAGTGAGAGGAAGTGGGGAGGGAGAGTAGATGGGTGGGTGGATGAGCGAGTAGAAGTGGATTCACGCACAGTCCAATTAGATTGGTCAGTGGGGTAAGGTCCTCAAGGTTGCCAGTGAGAGAGTTGTACGAAAGGAAACTGGAGGGCAGATGGGGCAAGGCGAGAGGGGCAGGAGGGAAGTGGTGAAATATGTTGCGAGGGAGTGGTGAGGCGTGGTGAGGCGTGGTGAGGCGTGCACCTGAAGAGCAATGTGGTAGGATTGCATGGGTATGGCAACATGAGAGAGACGGAAATGGGCAGCTAGAATTCGTTTCGTACAGCCAGGAGAGATCGTGCAGTTGGGCAATGGTGCTTGGAATGGATCCCTCAAGCTTGTTGTCGTTCAAGGAACTGGATTTGTCAGGTGAAATGTGGTGAATGGCATGGCATGGCATGGCATGGCATGGCATGGCACGGCATGGCATGGCATGGCATGGCATGGCACGGCACGGCACGTCATGGCATTGCCTGCCAGTTAATGAGCTATTAAGTTTCTCAGAATAGCATGACATATTTGGAAGCTATGCATGCAATGGTATCAAGGTTGTTGAAATCTCTCAGGATTCTCACGTGAGGACGGGCGATGTGGTACCCATGTACCTCACAATCTCTCCGGGTTCACGTGCTGAACCCATCTCCTATGGCAGAGGACAGCACATCCACCTGATAACGAGGAGAGGTTTGAGGCGCTCCAAACCTCACCTCAATGTTATAGGACAGGACATCCACCCACATGATAACCAGTCACACTCACTCGCTCGCCCCCAACCCCCCCTCCCTCACTCCCTCCCCCCCCCACTCCCTCCCTCCCTCGATCCCTCACTCCCTCCCTCACTCCCTCACTCTCTCACTCCCTCACTCCCTCTCCCTCACTCCCTCACAGGGTATTAAGGTATGTCATGGAGCCTATGGAAGTGGGTATGGCTCCTGTCAGCTTGTTGTTGGATAGCAAACTGGGTGAGGAGGAAGAGCAGGAAGGAGGAAGAGCAGGAAGGAGGAAGAGAAGGAAGGAGGAAGAGCAGGAAGGAGGAAGAGCAAGAAGGAGGAAGAGCAGGAAGGAGGAAGAGAAGGAAGGAGGAAGAGCAAGAAGGAGGAAGAGCAAGAAGGAGGAAGAGCAGCAGGAAGGGTTCAGAACAGAGGAGGGGTGGGGGTGTATCAGGGTAAGCGGTATAGAAATATGGGGTGGCGAAGAGCAGAAGGGAGAAGTGAGCAAACAGCAAGTGCGTGTGTTTGTGTGTGGGTGCGAGTAGCATGGGGGGGAAATCGTGAGAGGAAGAGAATGGATGGAACATCGAAAAGAGATTGGAGTAAGCTAAATGGTGGGGACATGAGAGAGTAAGAGATCAAGAAGGGAAGGACAAAAGAGAGGAAGAGAGGAAGGGAGGAAGAGAGGAAGGGAGGGAGAGAGGACGTGTGGAAGAGAGGAAGCGAGGAAGAGAGGACGTGAGGAAGAGAGGAAGGGAGGAAGAGAGGTACAGCAGTGCGGTTCTCACAGCGTCTCTAGAGCAGCGCAGTTGCCAATGTCAGCAGGAATAGACCCTGAGAGCTGGTTGTTGTGGAGCGAGCTGGCGTGGGGGAGAGATGGACAATGGCAGGAATCAGCACATGGATGGGGGATGGGAAGGATGCGGGAAGTGAGGGTGGGAGGGAGGGAGGAAGGGAGGGAGGGAGGGGGGGGGGAGGGAGGGAGGGAGGGAGGGAGGGAGAGAGGGAGGGAGGCAGGGGGGTATATGGGAACACTGACGGGTGGGTTTGTGGGAACACTAACAGGTGGGTGAGTGTTTTTAAGGAAGAGAGGAAGGCAGGGATGGTCCCCTCGAGCTCATTGTTGGCCATGGACCTGCGAGCAGCACACAGCATGGAGCTCGGGGTGAAGGCAGTGCAGTCACACACTAGCCGTGTCGAAGTTTGAAATGCGATGTGGGAGAGGGAGAGTGATGTGGGAGAGGGAGAGTGATGTGGGAGAGGGAGAGTGATGTGGGAGAGGGAGAGTGATGTGGGAGAGGGAGAGTGATGTGGGAGAGGGAGAGTGATGTGGGAGAGGGAGAGTGATGTGGGAAAGGGAGAGTGATGTGGGAGAGGGAGAGTGGTGTGGGAGAGGGAGAGTGATGTGGGAGAGGGAGAGTGATGTGGGAGAGGGAGAGTGGTGTGGGAGAGGGAGAGTGATGTGGGAGAGGGAGAGTGATGTGGGAGAGGGAGAGTGATGTGGGAGAGGGAGAGTGATGCACGATCACAGAGGTTAAGTCTCGCTAGAGTGAAGGAGAAGTTGAGAGCAACGTGGCAATCGGTTAACTCTCGCTAGGCATGCATGGTTGCAGGAGGGAGAGCAATGCAGGGAGAGCGATGCGCAGTTGTGACGTGAGCGTGAGGGAAGGGCAGGAACGGGCTGTGAGGCAGGGGGGACGTGTCTAAATGGGAGCGACTGACAGGTGGAGCAGGCTGGTGAGGGTACTGAGGGCGTCAGGGATGGAGCTTCCCAGCTTGTTGTCGTCCAGGTCGCTGTGATGGGCGCATGGAAACACAAGGAGTTTGGGAGGGCCAAGGTGTTTGGGAGGACCAAGGTGTTTGGGAGGACCAAGGTGATTCGCAGGCTGAACGAGAGCAAAAACCGGAATGGAAAAAGCACAGAGCATTGGATGTGAGAGCGGGAGATGTGAGAGAGGGAGATGTGATGTGAGAGCAGGAGATGTGAGAGAGGGAGATGTGAGAGAGGGTGCATGCGAGGCGTGAAAGGGATGAGGAATGAGAAAGCATGGGGGATACAAGAGCATACGCATGCATGCATGCATGTATGCATGTATGCTTCGGCACAATAATGTGTGGAGTGAAGTGGAGGAGAGTTGCAGCAGAGTGCGGTGTGGAGCGGGGGGGATTTCAAGAGTGGAGTGGAGTGGAGTGGAGTGGAGTGGAGTGGAGTGGAGTGGAGTGGAGTGGAGTGGAGTGGAGTGGAGTGGAGTGGAGTGGAGTGGAGTGGAGTGGAGTGGAGCGAGTACGGAGGTCATTCCAATGGTGGCAACTAGGAGTAGTTGAGAGGGCCAGTCACGGCGCTGACATAACAGGTACTCGAGCAGGTAGAGAGACGTCTTCTAAGGCGCCTCAAAAGTGGGTGAGAGGGTCATATGGCTGGCATGGCACTGACAGGTACTCGAGCATCACCAAGCTGCCCATTTCCGTGGGAATGCTGTCTGTGAGCATGTTGTGCGCGAGGTGGCTGCAAGGGGAGTGAGTGAACACATGTCCGCACAGGGGGACAACATTAGATGCGGGGGGGAAGGGAGGGGCGGGGGAAGATGAGGAGAAGACAAGAGCACGAAAGAGCATAGAAGTAAGTCCAACCCGGTCGTTATCTACCCTGAGGGCCATGCAAGGCAGGCAGACAGGAAGCCAGCAATTCCCTTCCACCAAGCAAAGCCTAAGACGATTTTTTGGTCGGCTCAAAAATCGTCTCAACGCCCTTCCACCAAGCAATGCCTAAGGGATGCTGTAACGCTTACGGCTACTTGGTTTGCCAATGACAGGCACACTCACAGCTCTTTCAGGGTTTTGAGGGCGCTGATGGCAGGGGGAATGGCACCAGACAGCTGGTTGTTGGAGAGATGGCTGTGGCGGGGACATGGGGGTCGCAGGGCCGTGGAGTGGCGGCATTCTTTGAGGGGCTTTAATCGCACGTGAGGGTGTGGTGATGGCGAGGAAGTGAGGGAGGAAGGCTTGGGAGTGAGGCAAGGCATGGAAGTGAGAGTTGCGAGGGAGACATCGGAGTTAGACGTGCGGGGGCGGCATGGGAGGGAAATAGGGAGCGCCGAAATCTGCTGAGGTGGGCTGTGAAGGCACATGGAGGAGCATGGTGAGAGCATGGTGAGAGCATGCTGTAAGCATTCATGCCGTGAGTCATGCGACATGGGAGGCGATGGTGTGATGTGAGGAGAAGGAACGAGGTGACACAAGCGAGCATGTGAAGGTGCATATGCATGTGCTGAAAGCATGCTAATGGAATGGTACGGCACGCACAGGCCGGTGAGAGCAGAAAAGCGGACGTGCATGCGCATTTGCATGAGCACAAAGCATGCAATGCAGTGGTGTGGTGCACGCACAGGCCGGTGAGAGCAGTCATGTGCGAGATGGCATCTGGAATGGAGTCGTTTAGCGTGTTGGACTGCAGATCACTGCCATTCAGAGCGCACAGGATGGAGAGAGGGAGAGATGAGTGAGGGAGAGATGGAGAGAGAGAGGAGAGAGAGAGAGAGGAGGAGGAGATGGAGAAAGGGGGAGAAGGAGGGAGGGCGAGATAAGGCTTCCAGATGCTGCAGGCAGAGGTGAGGAGAGCAGAAGAGAGGGACGGCCACTACACACAAGTGCACTGCACTGCACCGCACAGTACCAGCGAGGGAAACACTCAAGCACCAGGTCAAACGAGGGCGAACACCACAACACGAATGCACGAGCTACGACAATAGTTGAGTGAGTCGACTCAAAAAAACAGGCCGAATACCACACCGCATGAATGCACGTGAGGTGCAGAAGAGAGCGACGCAATGTCAGAGGCAATGTGTGTGTGAGAGGATCAGACCCAAACAAAACTGAATGTGCTTTTGAGGCGCCTCAGAACCACTTTCGTCTGAACGTCCCTCCCCTCCCTCGCTACCCTCCCTCACTCCCTCCCTCCCTCCCTCCCTCCCTCCCTCCCTCCCTCCCTCCCTCCCTCCCTCCCTCCTCCCTCCCACCGTGCTCGGGTCCGCCCATTTCTCACAGGAAGGCGAGCGAAGCAAGGGCGCTGAAGGAAGCCGGTATAGGGCCCTCCAGAGCGTTGTAGCTGAGGGTTCTGCACGCGCAAGTAAAGGAGGAGCACCGCACGCGCAAGTAAAGGAGGAGCACCGCACGCGCAAGTAAAGGAGGAGCACCGCACGCGCAAGTAAAGGAGGCGCACCATAGGTGAGAATTGTGGGGGAGAAGGGGGGGTGTGGTTGGATAGATGGCCGCACAGGTTGCAACGTAGGTTGGAGCGCATGTTGCAGCACAGGATAGATTGCACCGCAGCACCAAGAGGGCAGAAAGGGGCAGCGAGTGAGGATGGGGTGAGACACTACGAATAAGGAGGAGATGATGAGAAGTGCCCCATACAGAGTTGTGACACAGGCGTGCAGAGCGGTCGACAGGCGTACAGAGAGGTGAGAGGAATACAGAGAGGTGAGAGGCGTACAGAGAGGTGAGAGAGGTGAGAGTGCCAAGAACTGTAGGGATGGAGCCCAGTAGACCTTCGCTCTCCAGCCACCTGGTGTGTTGTGTTTAGGGCACACATGCACACATGCACACACGTACACACGCACACATGCACACATGTACACATGCAGACATGCGCACATGCACACAGATGCTGATGCACACATGCACAAGTATGCACATGCACACACACACAGACACGCACACACACACACACACACACACACACACACACACACACACACACACACACACACACAGAGCACAGCACAGCACAGCACAGCACACACAGAGAGAAAGGCAGAAGCATGAAGCACAGTCACAGCACACTGGCAGCAATGGCTTCTGTAGCCCATCGCACCATCTCCCCCGCTCCACCCTCCATTGCTGTCCTCCCATTCCCTCCCTCCATTCCCTCCCTCCACTCCCTCCCTCCCTCCACTCCCTCCACTCCTTCCCTCACTCTACCGCCAACCCCTCCGTCCCACCCGGGGTGCCTACATGCCAGTGACGAGCCCGTTGGCATCGCTTGCAATGAACTGCGCTACAACCACCATGTTGCCCCCACCCCACACTCCCACGCCATACCCCTCCTCCCTTCCGTACATGCCAGTGATGAGCCCGGTGTCGTCGCAGGCAATGAACTGCGCCGTGTCGCACTCGCCCCCCACCCGCCACTCGTTCGCCGACAATCCCCATGCTGTGTCGCACTCCACTAGCACCCCCGCTGCCAGGGGCGCGTGAAAGGGGGACGTGGGGACAGGGCGCGTAGGGGGGGAGACGAGGCAGAGGGGAAGGAAGGGCGAGACGGGGGGGGGAGGGGGAAGGGGAGAGGGAGGGGGGGATTTTGAGTTGGCGGCTGAACGAGTGGCCATGTTGCAGGGCACAGCAGCACCAGCAAGAGTAGCTAGGGAGCATAGCAACCAGGTATCATAGCAGAGACTGCAAACCCTAAGTTAGTATACGTTCGACCAAGTGGGGGACTGTGGTGTGGGACATGACAGCTAGGAGCGGAAGGAAGTGGGGGAGTGGAAAAACAAGCGAGATGGAGAGGAGAGGAGCGGGACAGAGCGAGGGAGAGTGAGAGGCGAGGAGAGGTGCAGGTAGGAGGAGGAGGAGCGAGCGACCTTGGGCGTCGTTGATGCGAGTGGCAGCAGCAGGGCACGGCGGCAGCAGAAGCAGCCCCGCCGCAGCCAGTAGCAGCAGCGGCAGCGGCAGCGGAGAGAAGGAGAAGCTGCGTAAGTCACCCATGACTCTCGAGAAAGGTCTTCCCCGGAGGAAGGAAGGAAGGAAGGAAGGAAGGACGTGCTGAGCTGAGGAGCAACTGGAGGAGTTGTCTTTGAGAATTCTCAAGAACCAACGGGCTGGGAGGAGTGGAGAGGGTCAAGGACTCGCAGGCAGACGGAGGCTGGTGATGCAGCGCAGCGGTCACGGTGGTGACACTGAGTGTCACGAACTCCCGGCCGCTTTGCTCAGGCGGAGACTTGACTGGAAAAAAAGGCTGAGCCTGCGCTTTCCAAGATTTGCACTCGCAGTTGAGACTTGACCACGCGAAACGCCTGGGCGGACACAGAATTGACACGACTAGAGAGGTCTCTCAACTTCGTCTTGAAAAAGCTCGACTCGACTTGGAGGTCATGGTGTTCCAGAATACTATTCTCGGCAACGCAATTGCCTTGCTCATATTAAGACGGGTATGATATAAATCTCCTAGCAGAAGGGCTTCAAAAACGGCTCTAATACTAGTTAAAGAAGACCGCGCGAACGGCAGGCTGGAACTCGAGAATCCAGCCTCCATCCTTTTCCGCGACGCTGCTGTGCACGACGAACTCGAGAATCCAGCCTTCATCTTCGAAAGATTCCGAATCTTGCCAACAAATGGCTGGCGAGCATGGAAGATTCCCGCCACGAGCATACCGCGGCGCGAGAGAGCCCCCGTGAGATACACGTGGAGCCGCGGCAGCCATGATCGACGCCTAGTCGGCGCGGCCCCGCTGCGGCGACGGCGACTGCCCAGCGCGGTCAACGCGTGAATGACGGCGCCGGGGCTCGCCGGGTGGCGCTGCTACACGTCGACCCTACCCCACCATGATGGGATGGGGGAAGACCGGAGGACTGGGATAAGACTTGCCACGGCAGACAAGCCGTGAGACCTACGATGGTAGAGGTGGTGGCTATAGCGTGTTCGAAGTGAACGTCGCGACACGTGTCAACCTTTGATGAGCGGCGAGCGCCGTTTCTGCTGCCGCGGTGTGCGTGTGCTGCGGGCAGCATGACTGTCGAGTCATGATGGCGAACTAGGGGGAGCGAAACGGGAGCAGACCGTTGTACTGCAGAAGAATCGTGGATTTCGGCTCGACACCACCACATTCTCAGAAAGGCTGTCGCTCTCTCTCTCGCTCTTGCTTTTTCTCTCCCTGTGCACGGGTGCAGTTTTGTCGGCTCTGCGCACATGTTATTCCTCGCTTAGCTCCGAACCGCACGAGCAAACGAACGATCAAGAAAAGGCGTGAATCGTGATAAAAAACTTCCAATCCCAAAACCCTCTTTGTTGGTGTTAGCAGGCAACTGCCCTTGTGCAGTGCGGTGCTGCAGGAAACTTTGCTCCTCGTTCGCGTTTTCCTGAAGGCGACTCGTCGTACTCTGGGACTCAATTTGGGGAGGTGTTCACACATGTGTTGCGCCCCGAATTCCGAGACGTCGCCGAACCAGTGAACACTTGACGGCTGTAAAACCGGGCAGGCAGTGTGGAACTTCCAGAGAATTTGCCAAATGTTTCACGCCTATTCACAGCCCTTGACAGTCTTCGGTTCAGCCCCTCAGCCCACCTGATTCGCTTGTGGCGTGTTCGATAGAAGGAACAACACAGTGATTTCGAAAAGGCCATGCTTTGGGAAGCTGCCAACCATGTCCTTCATTTAGCCATTAATATTGTCCTTATGTGAACGTATTGCTGATGTTAAATAACGGGATAAATAAAAGCGCGTACACCCCTCGCGAGGTTGGACCATAGTTTTCTTCTACCATGTTTCGCACTGCCCAAGATCTTGTTTCACCTTCTGACCGCAGTAGAAGCGTGCTGGTGAGATGTGCCTCGTCAGCACATTGCAGCGGCAGGCCACCTGCTCCCATTTTTCGGGATCTGTTGCTCCCGGGAGATCGCTTGGGGGAACAATTGGCGCGCTCATCGGCTCGAATTCACCAGCCTCCCCAATTACGTTACGAGGCGCTATTGACCGTGATTGGTTACGATGGCAACAGTTTGCTGAAGTGGAGCCTGATCGCGTTTAGGTCAGATTACAGCTTTTTTTATGGGGATGCTCCACTCCCTGAACAGTCATCTTTTTTATTACGATCAATATATAATTAAGCCACGTCCTGAACAGTTGAAATATTTCGACTTATGTTTGTTTTTATGCAATCTTCGTGAGAGTATGAGGGGTTGAACCATCTTTTATGGACCATCTTCTATCAATGTCATCTCGAAAATATGGAGACGTCGGTCAGAAATATCAAAAAGTGGTTGCGGTAGTGGCGGAAAGTTTGTTGGCCCCCCGGTCTGGTTCCGCAAGTCGGCTCGTCAGCTTTGATCACGTGGAGACAATGCGCTGTCTAACAGCATTTGTTGTTGCCAAAAGGGAAATGTACTTAGCTAAAAGCTCTGTAAAATGGCTGTAGAAGGCTGCTTGTTCTGCTATACTGATCCATTTTGGATGGCTGCTGTTCCAGTGTTTAGACTAGTTTGTTTCGGGAAAGTACATCCCAGCCTTCGCTCCCAAATTTACGAGAGAAATACTGGGACTCGCGATTTGGATTTCTAGATAATTCTTATTTTTCTGCCATTTTGTACATCCGAACCGCGATCACAAAAACTTTCCATCGCACTGTTTCCCGCGTCGATCATCGTCTCTTGGCCAGTGGTCAGGAAAGAACTAAACCTCTCTCGGATTGCATGTAGACAAGAGATGGGAATCAACCCTCAACACTATCAAATAAGGTGCTTATGGCTGATTACTTCTAAAGTTCGTTGCTTTCCCATTTTGGATCTATTGTTCCTTCGGGCAGCAAGCTTCTCTAGATGTCGTCGTCTAGCGCGCTGGAAACCGCACAATGGGAAGTTGTTGTGATAATGGTCTGGATATAAAATAATGACAGGATGCAAGAAAACATCCCAACGTCTAAGCCGTGTCAAAGTAGTTTTCTCCAAATCCGCATTTGGGTTTCGCGGAGGTCTGGCGCTGTGCAGCGTGCACGGCGTCCCCCTCCCCCACCCCTTGCTCGCCCGGCAAAAGCGGCGAGAGCAGTATAAAAGGAGGCCTTCTTCATTCTGCACATTCATTCCCAGTTTCCCATCTTTCCATCATCTCTTGTGCTCTCTTGCAAGCTTGAGAACTTGAATAGAGATATAGCTTAGTTCCCTCGCATACCTAGATTTGGAGGCGTTAGTCCCTCATTGCCAGCTAGTTACGTTGGTGCCTTTCGTACCCTAAACCCCTTCTCAGTCAAGAAAGTTGTTACGTTGACATGGCTTTTGAAATCGCAGCTTCACCTGTGACTGCAGCAATTCCGCCTGTCGCAGGACTCCTCTCAACGCAATTATCTTCGAACGAGGTCCGTCTTTCGATTAGATTCTGTAAATCTTCTTGCCACACTGGAATCTACCATATGAATTTGATCTTTGACTGTCCGTCTCTTGCGGGATTGATGATTGACTGTGGACGATCCTTGCAAATTCCTTCACCTCAGTCTCACTTGCTTTTTTCTGATGTTCGCTTACCTTTCCCTTTGGCCGCATGTTCTATGCGGGATCTGCAATTCGCTTGATAACACTGTGGTTCCACCCTGACATCTTGACCGGCCATGACCCATCGCAACCGCTTGCCACTGCTTCGGCATCTGGCTTCAACAACAATTGTCATCATGCGAACTTGCAGCAATCTCATTGGATGGGATCCTCGTTCTTCGGGTAAATGCTGAACTCTCCACGCAATTCTCCTTACGCCCTTCTCCTTAGGTCCCAATTAGCGTCTTTTTTTCCTTCCTCACTCTTCCGTACCGCTCTGCTCCATGTCCACCGACACGAATTCGGCATAGAATTTATCAAAATTCATCCATCTAAACCCCATTATCCGCACCTCCCCGTCTCCCCCTTTGTCCCCTTCCCCCTTTGTCCCCTTTGTCCCCTTCCCCCTTTATCCCCTTCCCCCTTTGTCCCCTTCCCCCTTTGTCCCCTTCCCCCTTTGTCCCCTTCCCCCTTTGTCCCCCGCGTCCCATTGGCCCGCGTCAGCACCCGCGCGCCGTATCGCGGGCCTACCCCGCTGCAAGCCTCGTTCGCTCGCGGATCTCTCTTCCGTCCGTCGCCGGCGCTGCCGCTCGCCACGCCTCCCTGTGCGCGCGCGCGCAATCCGCAGTCGGTCACCTCCGCCTCCGCCTCCGCTTCCGCATCTGCGGCGTCATCTGCGGCGGCTGCTGCGTCTGCTTCCAGCGGCGCGTCGACGCTCGTCAAGGGCCCCGCGGTTAGGTCGGCCCGCCTCGATCCTTCCGTCGTCGTGCCCTCCGAGCCCGTTACAAGCAGCTCCGCTTTCGTGAACGACGAATCGCCTTCAGCGCCCGCCGATGATGCAATCAGCGGCGCGTCCTCCGCGGGTACCCGGCGCTCGCTGCGCTCGTCGTCGCCCACCCGCGAGCCCGCGCGCCCAGGCCTCATCGAGCGCTGCTTCGGCCCAGGAACCGCGCCGTCAGTCGCGGAAGCCGCCAGCAGCCTCCTCGTCCCCCTGGCGGAGCACGCGGTGTCCAATTGGGCGCTTCCGAGCGGCACGAGCGGCGGGCGCAGCGGGTCGGAAGCGCGCGTGCGGAGGGCGAAGCGCGCGGCGCGGAGTCTGGAAGAGGAGAAGCTCCGCGAGGAGCGGCGGAGGGAGTTAAGCGTGCTTCTGGAGCAGCTAGAAGCGATTCGGGACCACGCGATGGAGCTGGAAATGTGCAACCAGCACCACCTCGACCTCGCCGCGCCGTACGCTCCTGCCCCCGCTCCCTGCTCCCTGCTCCCTGCTTTGTGTCGTATCTCCCTTAATCCCCGCTCCTTAGCGTTTTCTTCACCCGTCCCCCATCCTAAACCCCTCCCCCCCCTGCCCCTTTCCCCCTTCCCCTCTCTCCCCCCAACCTTCCCCCTCTTCCGGTTCCCCGCAGGCGGTACCGCGAGTCGGCGCGCAACCTGCTGCACTACATGGCGCTGCGCAACATGCCTTCTGAGTCGACTCAAAACTCATCCCCTTCCCCCATCTCTCACTCCCCTCTGCAATTCCCTCGATCCCCCGCTTCCTCCGCGCCTCCCCCTCCGCGCAGGCGGTACCGCGAGTCGGCGCGCAACCTGCTGCACTACATGGCGCTGCGCAACATGGACGTGCGCCAGATGCAGCAGGCGCTCGCGAACCTGGGCCTTTCCTCGCTGGGGCGCACCGAGGCGCACACGCTCGCGTCCATCCACGCCGTCACGCGCGTCGTGCGCTCCATGCTGCGCGAGCTCTCCCCCAATGACGCTTCCGTCTCCGCCGCTTCCGCGTCGTCTTCTGTCAAGGCCAGGGGAAAGTCCAGAAACCTGGTACGTCTGCTGTGAATGCTGCATGTGCATCGTGTGCAGCGTCTATATTGTTCGCCCCCGGCAATCTGCCTCACCTCGCTGCTGTTCACCCCACACCTCACCCACCCCACCGCACTCCACCGCACTCCACCCCGTTGCAGGCGTCTCAAGTGGAGGCCCTGGCAACGGACGTACTCCCGCCCGTCCTAGATTTCGCGGACGGCGACAGGCAGCTGCAGCGCAACACCGTCGACCTGCTCGGCGCGCATCCGCCGCACCGCAAGACGTCCATCATGGTCACGCTGCCCGCGGAGGCCGCCGCGGACCGCGCGCTCGTGGCGGAGCTGCTGCGCGCGGGCATGAACGTCGCGCGCGTCAACTGCGCGCATGACGATCCCGTGGTGTGGGGGAGGATTGTGGCGAATGTGCGGAAGCTCTCCGCGCAACTCGGCCGCCCCTGCAGGTTTGTGGAGGGGTGGGAGGGGGCGTGCGGGGGTGTGGGGGGTTTGCGGGGGTGTGCGGGGGTGTGGGGGGTGTGAGAGGCATGAGCCAAGCCTAGGTCGTGCAGGTCTCAGTGATCCCACTCCCTGCCCTACAACGCCCTTCACCGTTTTCTCTTTTTCCAGTCTGACATATCACGTTCTGCAACGACTCCCCTCTCCGCTCTCCCCTCTCCGCTCTCCCCTCTCCGCTCTCCCCTCTCCGCTCTCCCCTCTCCGCTCTCCCCTCTCCGCTCTCCCCTCTCCGCTCTCCCCTCTCCGCTCTCCCCTCTCCGCTCTCCCCTCTCCGCTCTCCCCTCTCCGCTCTCCCCTCTCCCCTCTTATCTCCGCGCTCCCATTGTGCGCCACATCCTAGTGCGCAAATAGATTTAGCAGGGGGCATGCTGAGAACAGGCTCCGTGCCCTGCCAGCCCTCGCTTGCTGCGCCTCAACCCCTCTACTCCCCTTCCCCCTCCTTTTCCCATCTCCCCGCACCCCCCATCCACTCCACTCCACTCGCAGGATACTGATGGATCTAGCAGGGCCCAAGCTAAGAACAGGCCCCATGCCCGCAGGTCCGCGCGTGCTGCGCCTCAAGCCCAACAAGGACGCGCGCGGGCAAGTTGTTTCCCCCCTGCGCGCCCTGCTCCTCCCCGCCGCACCCGCCACTCCCTCCTCTTCCTCCTCCCCCTCTGCCACCACAATCCCTCAAGCAGCAACAGCATCAGCAACAGCAGCGGCAGCAGCGTCACTCCCCTGTATCCCCGTGCAAGCCTCTAAGGAGTGGTTCCAGGCGGTGGAGACCGGTAACGTGCTCACAATGCAGGACGCCCGCGGCAAGAGGAGGTCTCTGCTCGTGTCTGAGGTGGTCCCAGGAGTCAAGGGCCCACAGCTCATCGTGGAAAGCCGCAAATCCGTCTCCTTTGAAACCGGGCTGCCCGTGAGCGTCCAGCGGGCAGGGGCGAAGGAAGAAGGGAAGGGGAAGAAGAAGAGCAAGGCGGGGAAGGCTCTAGCAGGAGGAGGAGCAGCAGCAGCAGCAGCAGCAGCAGCAGCAGCAGCAGCAGAGGCGTGTATAGGGGAGTTGCCGGCTAAGGAGGTGGCGATAGAGCTGGCGGTGGGGGATGAGTTGTTGATCGTGCGTGGGGAGGGCGAGGGCAGCAAGGCGCAGTATGATGCGGTCACGGGAGCGCTTGTGCGCCCTGCTGCTGTCAGCTGCTCGCTGGAGCAGGTCTTCACCAATCTCAAGGTTGGTTTGCCGTGTGCGGTGGTGGGTTGGTCGGTAGGCGTGGGCGGGTGGGTGTATGTGTGTGCGCGCATGGGCGTGTGCGATTGTGCTCTTGTGCGCCCCGCTTCTGTCAGCGGGGTGGGTGGGTTGGTGGGTGCGTGGGTGCTTGTGTGTGTGCATGCACTCTTGTCCACCCGGCTGCTTTGTTTTTGCTCGCTGGAGCAGGTCTTCACCAACAGCAAGGTCTGGAACCCGAAGCGCTAAGCCTCCAGAACCCAGAACCCTAAACCTTGCAGGTTCTAATGGTCGTTGTGCTTTAACCATGTGCGTGTGTGTGTGTGCATGATACTTCGGCGCGGCGGCAAGAGGGCGAGCCGGGGAAGCTGGAGGACGGCAAGATAGAGGGCGTGGTGGAGGCAGTGGGGGCAAGGCAACCGCAGACTTGTTGACCCCTCTCGCTCTCCCTCCCTCCCTCCCTCCTTCCCTCTGTTCTTCCCTCCGTCCCTCCCTCCGTGTGTGCATGGCAACAGGAGGGCGAGCCTGTGAAGCTGGACGACGGCAAGATCGAGGGCGTGGTGGAGGCGGTGGGGAGCGAGGAGGTACGTGTGCGCATCTGCAAGACTCCGCCCGGAGGAGCCAAGCTCAAGAGCGAAAAGGTGAGCAAGGGGGAACGCGGAGAAACCAATGGCTAAACGATTGGGGGGGTGCTGCGGGGGAAGGGGAGGAGGGGAAATGGTTGGGGGGTCTGTACTGTGCTGTGGTGTGTACCGCAGGGGTTGTATGCAGGTCAATGTTTTCACACCCAATTTTCACCCCGGCCCGCACCCCGACCCATCCCGCTCCAACCCTCCCGTATCTCACCCAAACCAACCTCCCCCTTCTCCCCATCCCCACTTCCCCCTCTCTCCCCCTCACTCATCCCTCTCGCACCCAAACGCTCCCCGCTCCCCCCAGGCCATGAACCTCCCAGACAGCGACCTACAGCTGCAGGGGCTGACGGCCAAGGACATAGAAGACCTGGACTTCATCGTCACGCATGCTGACATGGTGGCCTTCTCCTTCGTCAACGACGCCTCCGATGTCACCATGCTGCAGGTGGGCGTGCCGGGGGGGTGCTTGTGCCCCGTGGATTGTTGTGCAGTGCAGTGTTGTCTGTGTTGTGCCGTGCCGTGCCATGTAACTGGGCTTCATCGTGGCACATGCCGACATGGTCGCCTTCTCCTTTGTCAACGACGCCTCCGATGTCACCATGCTGCAGGTACGACAAGATGCTCTTGCTCCATGCAAACGCTCTGCCGTGCCGTGCCGTGTCGTGCCAAACTGTGCCATGCCATGCTGTGCCTTGCAATGCCGTGCTGTGTTGTGTCGTGTCGTGTCATGTGCACGAAGGAGTTTTTGGGAACGTCGCACCAGTTCTCTGAGAGTCTTCCTCTGCACGGCACTGCAAGGCAGCGCACTTTCTTCTCCATATCCATGCCTGTCACTGCTCGCCTGGCGGTCCAGTCTGTGTCTATGCACACTGACACAGCCCTCCCCCTTCCTGCACCCCTCTCCTCACCACCATGTGTGTGTGTGTGTGTGTGTGTGTGTGTGTGTGTGTTGCGCCATGACAGGAGGAGCTGGCGAAGCGGGGAGCGGATGACCTGGGCGTGGTGCTCAAGATCGAGACCAAGCGCGCCTTCCAGAACCTGCCATGGCTCATGCTGCAGGTGGGTGTATGCACACACACACACACACACACACACACACACACACACACACACACACACACACCTGAACGTGGGAGCATGGCAGCATGGGAGCATGGGAGCATGAGAATTCAAAATGTTTTTGCCTGGTACAACCACTGCCATCCTCACCTTTGTGTGACCATCTCAAAATGTTGAGCTCGAAACTCTGACGCACCCTTTTCTCCTTGCCTCTCTTCCCTCCCTGCCTGTCCATTCCCAACCATCAGGGCATGCAGGGTTCGGGTCCCCTAGGCGTGATGATCGCGCGGGGAGACATGGCTGTGGAGTGCGGTTGGGAGCGGCTGGCAGAGGTGCAGGAGGAGGTGCTGTGGCTCTGTGAAGCTGCACACGTGCCCACCATATGGGCCACTCAGGTGCGTGATGCTGCTGTTTCCTTATGCTGACACGCTAAACCTGAAACCCCACATTCTCCCAACTGCCTACTCACGCACTGCCGCCCGTTGCCGTTGTACCCTCGTTCCCCTCGTCCCTCCTCGCCCCCTCTTGCCATTCCCTCCTCTCTTTTGCCTCGTGCGGCTCTTCCATGTTTGGGGGATCCCTTGCAGCGGAAGTTTCTTCCTCCAAGGTTCCCCTTACCGTAATACTGGAAACCCACCCTTCTGCCCTTCTCCATACCCTCCCATTTCACCCAATATCATCCCTCCCTTCTCCCGCCCGACCTCGACCTCCCTGCAGGTGCTAGAAGGCTTGGCGAAAACGGGACTTCCGTCGCGAGCGGAGATCACAGACGCGGCCATGGGGGAGAGAGCGGAGTGCGTGATGCTGAACAAGGGGCTGCACATTGCAGCGGCCGTCACGACTCTAGATGACATCCTGCAGCGCATGCGCTCGCACCAGATGAAGAAGCAGAGCATGATGCGCCCGCTGCAGCTCTCGCTGCCCTTTGTCTCCATCAGCTACTCGTCTGCTAGCAGCAGCGACTCCAGCAGTGATTCTTCCAGTGATGAAGAGGCGTGAAGAGGTGTGGAGTGGGGTAAAGAGGCGTGGGGAGGCGCGGTGATGGGTGAGGCGGTGTGCTGAGGAGCAGGAAAGTGCAGAGAGGTGTGGAGAGACGTGAAGTAGCACCTGCACCTTCCGTTTGTTACCATCAGTCTGCTGGTAGCAGCGACTCCTGCACTGATTCTTCTTCCAGCGACGAAGAGGCATGAAAAGTGGTGTGGAAAGGTGTGAGGAGGTGTGGAGAGTCTGGAGGAGCATTTGTGCAAGGCAAAATGTGCGCACATATAACGGGAAGAATCTTGGTGGTTGCTGAAGACTGGCCTGCATGGGGTAAATTCCCCACTTGCACTTTCGCAGGTGGACAACTCTAATCACTGCCACGGGTGAATCCCACCCTTTACTGGGCAGCTCCCCGCTGCCATTTATATATTCCACATGCTTACTGTGTAGTCTCTCAATACGGGGGCTAATATGGTTAATTATTATGGAAATTGTAATGATTTGGTGTAACAGGTGCTAATCAAGAAAGAATACCGAAATGAAAGGACCTGGCGAGATACCGTATGGTGTGTACTTCCCGTAAGCTACAAGCTAGGGCTCTGAATCACGTTGATTGGAATTGGTGCTACTCCTAAAGCATGCATGAGGCTCACTCTGTGCCAGTACAAGTGAGCTTGTGCTAACAGATTTGTTTTGAAGCAGTATCACTGTATCCACTATCAGTTGGCCGTTGCGATGCCAATGGCCTTATCTGCCGATGGAACTGGGATAAAGAGAAGTGCTGTATAACATGCCCACATCTTGTTGGCACATATATTGCAATGCATACACTTTTTTTTCACACAAGCGTTTCCATCAAAACACAAAACTTTGCTATTATCGTGGTTCCCTCAAGATTCAGAGTGAAGCCACAAAAGCAGCACACGACTTACGGCACCAATCTTTATTTGGTATCAAAAGAAAGGTTTACGAGGGTAACCAAGAAAACTGTAGTCGTGTTGTAACGGGATGTGTCGTGTCGTGTCGTGTCGTGTCGTGTCGTGTCGTGTCGTGTGAATGTACACAGGCGCACCAGCTCACACTGCTCCAGCCGAAACGGGAAATGCGCCATAAACGGTAGCATGGCCATGAAGCTCTCCTCCAAGCCGGCTTCTCAGCTACTGGTACTTTAAGAGCCACCCCCTTATCCACCTTCAACCTCCGCTACACTCCTGCTGTCACGTGGACCCACTGCCCCTCCTCTCTCCCTCTTTCCAGTGTTCCAGTGTTGCTCCTCTCTCTCCACCTCCCTTCTTTCACTTCTCCCATCCACCTCTTATCATCCACACACATACCACGACTTCAACCCCTCACGCACCCCTCTTCTATCCTCACGCACCCCTCTTCCATCCCTTCTCTCCTCCATCCATACATCCATCCATCCACCCCAGCTTCCTCACTCCTCCCTCCTCCACCACCTCCTCCTCACGCGGTCAGCGGCTGCACAGCAATTACGGACCGAACCGAATGCCCGTTATTATCCACCCACGTCAAGCTCCCATAAGAAAACGCAGCCGACGCCTTCCGCACTGTGATATTCATCTGATACTTCACCGACGCTCCCGGAGCTATCGTAAACGTCTTTGGCTCCAAGTCAATGTTGACATTATCAGGGACCACCAGCACGGCACGGTAGGTAGACGGCTTGACCCACACGCTCGTCACTCTCCGGTTGATCGTGACGGACTTTTTCATGCGAGACACGCTGATGGATGCACGGTTGAGATTGTACGCCGGCACGGGGGTCAGCTGCATGCCCGAAAAGATATTATTCGCGCGCCACGTGCTCTGGCCGGCGAGGAAATTCACGAAATCGGAGTACGACGCGTCGTATGTCAGCCCGGGGTTTAGCAACCCGCTCGTGTTCACCTGCCCCTGCCCCATGTCCCACGGCGTCGCCACGCTCCCGGTATCCGTGGGAATCAACCCGCCGCGATTCGTCGTGGTGCTAGCAGTCGTCATAAACGCGGAGATGATCTGCGCGGGAGACCACGTCGGATTCTTCTGCACGACCAGCGCTGCAAGCCCCGCAAGGTGAGGCGTAGCCATGGATGTCCCAGACACCATGCCGAAGTTGGGAGTAGAGGCTTGGGCAAGAGAAGGGGTGCGCCAGGGGCCCCAGAGGTTGACGCCTGGGCCGACGACATCGGGCTTTAAGATGTCGTTGGTGCCGGCCCAGGAGGCCTGCATGGCGGGGTTGACCACGGGGCCTCGCGAGGAGAAGTCAGCGATCACTGGCGCCATGTCGTTGTCCACGGCGTAGGGCGCGGAGATGCGCGCCGTGGGCACTCCGCCTTTCGCCCTGAAGAGGGAGGTAGGAGAAGAGGTGGTGGGGCATGAGGGGAGGAGAGAGGGATGGAGTGAGTACGAGGAGAAGTCGGCGACGGCTGGCGCTATCGTTGTCGACGGCTGGCGCTATCGTTGTCGACGGCTGGCGCTATCGTTGTCGACGGCATAGGGGACTGAGATGCGCGGGTGGTGCCCAGGTTACTAGGTTATCAGCTGATGGTACCTTTCAGCAAACTCCACCACAATCCCCCCTCCCCACTCCTCCCCCAACCCCCGTCCCTCTCCCCCCGCTGTCCTCTCCCCACTCTGTCCTGTCTCCCCTCCCTTGCTTACCGCACGTTGCTGAGGTATCGCTGCAGCAGCCCCGCTTGCGCGGCCGTGATGTGAATCACAGGAATCGTAGACCGCAGAAACACCGCTCAGCCCCTTGGGCACGTTGCTGATCACCACTGCTGCTGCCTTTGGGTGGTGCCCAGGTTACACCCCCCTCAGAGGATACGTCTGTCTCACCAAACTCCCCCACATTCCGGTCCCACTCCTTCCCACTCCTCCCCAGTCCTCTCCCCAACTCTGTCTCTCCAACGGGCCCCCTCTCTTCCAGTACTCACCGCACGTTGGTGAGGTATCGCTGCAGCTGCCCTGCTTGCGCGGCCGTGATGTGAATGACGGGAATCGTAGACCGCAGAAACACCGTGTTGCTCAGCCCCTTGGGCACGTTGCTGATCACCACTGCCGCTGCGCCCGCTGCGACGGCGGCTGAGAGCTTGTCCGTGAGAAAATTCTCCCCGCGCACACATAGCAGGATCTTGCCTGAGACCTTGTTGGCTAGTATCGCGTTGGAGTAGCACAGCTTTGCCTGCAGGTGGGGGAAGGGGAGAGGGGAGAGGGAATGGGGGAGAGGGGTGAGGTACGAAGGGAGACTGCTATGACGGCGGCTGAGAGCTTGTCCGTGAGGAAATTCTCCCCGCGCACGCACAGCAGGATCTTGCCCGATACCTTGTTGGCTAGGATCGCGTTGGAATAACACAGCTTCGCCTGGAGGGGGGGGGGAGGATGGGGCATGGGGCACGGGGGAGGGGAGAGGGGAGAGGGGTAAGGGGATGCTCGCTGTGACGGCCGCTGAGAGCTTGTCCGTGAGAAAGTTCTCCCCTCGCACACACAGCAGGATCTTGCCCGAAACTTTGTTGGCTAATATCGCGTTGGAATAGCACAGCTTCGCCTGAGGGGATGGGAGTGGGGAGGGAGGAGGGGGGGGGGGGATGGAGGGAGGGTAGGGGAGATAAGTGAAAGACAGGGGGAGAGGATACTGAGTTGAATAATCAGTGAGAGGAAAGCGAGAGGAAAGGGGGAGAGAAGGAGAGCGAACAGAAAGGGGGATTCAAGGGAGACGAAGACGAAAGAGTTAGGAAAGGAGGAAAGGGAGAGGCAAGGCTGGGTAGGTGCTGACCCGGGAGGAGCTGGCAAAGGGGCGCGCGCACGGCCCGTTCCCCGTCCACATTTCCTTGAGAGTCCTCAAAAGGAATGCCAGCTTACCCGGGAGGAGCTAGCAAAGGGGCGCACGGCCTGGCCGCCGTCCACGATCTGCAGCATCTTGTTGCTGCCGCCCCACGACGGGCCCTGCAGCACCACCCCGTTGCCCAAGGTCATGTTCGCCATGTAGCGCCTGTCTGTGGAGCTGAGAGGAGGGGAGTTGGGGGTGTGGTGGGTGGGGAGGGGGAGGGGGAAGGGGAGAAAGGGGAGGGGGAGTTTGGTTCTGGCGGCCTTGGGTAGCCCCTGCAGCACCACCCCGTTGCCCAAGGTCATGTTCGCCATGTAGCGCCTGTCTGTGGAGCTGGGATGGGAGAGGAGAGGGGGTGGAGGGGAGGGAGGGAAAAGTGGAGAGCAGGGGGAGGGGAAGAGTGATTGGCGGCCTTGATAGCCCCTGCAGCACCACGCCGTTGCCCAAGATCATGTTCGCCATGTAGCGCCTGTTCGTGGAGCTGGGGAGGGGGGACGGGGGGAAGAGAGGGAGGAGGGGGGAAGCGGGAAAGGGAGGTTGGTTTTAGCCCCTGTAGGTGTAGAGGGGTTAAGATAGATGGGAGGAAAGTGGAGGGGAAGGGAAGGTGAGGGTGGGGGAAGAGGGAAAAAGGGGGAGGAGGGTGAAGAGGTGAAGAGGGGAAGGATGCGCTGCAAATGTGCAGTCTGAACACAGCTATGCGCAGAGCGGACGGCGCAGGGCGGACGGCGCAGGGCGGACGGCGCAAGGCGGGCGGGCGCACCTGGGTGAGTGCAGGGCGGGAGGGCGGGCGTACCTGGCGCCGACGGTGAGGTAGAAGGGCTAGTCGTCGATGGTGGGGGCAGTGAGGGCAGGGACCGGGGGGGAAGGGCACGCAAGACGGGGAAGAGGGGACAAGCAAGGCGGGGAGAGGAGGAGGGAGAGGCGAGGCGAGTAGCGTACCTAGCGCCGACGGTGAGGTAGAAGGGCGAGTAGTTGTCGATGGTGGCGTAGTTAAACAGGTCCGCGGGGGGCGGGCCCTGGTTGCCCGCCGCTAGCGTCGCGAACACGCCCGCCTGCGCACGCGCGAGACGCGGAAGATGGGGGAGAGGTGGGAGGGGGGAGAGGTGGGACGGGGAGAGCAGGGGGGAGAGCAGCAGATAAGAGGGCGAGGGGTGCTAGTACGAGAATCGTCTGATTCGTGTCGCCAACTAGACTTTCCCAATGTGTTTCCGCGATTTGCGCACACCTGAACGGCTGAGATAAAGCTGAGATCGTCGAAGTAGCTCGTCAGCCCGCCGCCCACGGAGAGGCTCAGCACATCTACGCCGTCCGCAATCGCCTGATCGACGGCTGCGTACACGTCGCTCATCGCGCCGCTCGCGCCGTCCGTGCCGGCCAGCCGCCACATCGTCTTGTACATCGCGATGCGCGCGCGCGGCGCCATGCCCGACGCGATACCGAAGCTGGACGTGCCCATCTTCACGTTCACTCCATTGTTTCCCGCCGCCGCCCTGGGGTTTCCGCGGAAAGAGGGGGTTGGGAGAAGGTGGGGAAAGCGTGGGGAAGGGAAGAAGGGGAGAGGATGAGGGGAGTAGTGGGGAATGACGAGTGATAAATGTGGAGAGGGGAAGATGACTGGCTTAGAGGGGAACAGGTAAGGATGGTTCTCGGCTTTGTGCGAATGGAAAGGGCGCCCTTGAAACGAAATGCCGGACACGAAGCACAAGCACAACACGAGCGGCACAGCACGGAACTTTCACACATTCTAAGAGCCGCCCGCACGAAGCGGCGGCATCACCGTACCCGGAGCACCAGGAGCCGTGGCCGTTGCCGTCGCGCGGCGACTTGAAGTCCGTCGCATAGTCGATTGCGACGCCCGCCTGGCTGATGCCCGCGTTGTAGAACCGCGCGCCGATCACCTTCTTGTTGCACGCCTTGAAATCCGCCGACTTCACGCACGTGCCGCGCCACCGCGCCGGCACCGGCCCGTACGTCTGCTCGTGGGGAGGGCAGGCGGGGGGAAGGCGGAGGGCATGCGGAGGGGAGGCGAGGGGAGGCGGAGGGGAGGCAGAGGGAGGGCGGAGGGGAGGGTGGGCGGGAGGGGGACGAAAGGGGAAACGGGGGTCGGATTCGTTGAAGGCAATTATCTCGCCCACTTCTTCCTTTTTCTGGTATCTCTCGCCTCTCGCCTCTCGCCTCTCGCCTCTCGCCTCTCGCTCTCTTGCTCTCTCTTCCTTGACTCACGTCGTCTGCGAACGACGGGTGCTCGGGCCATATGCCCGAGTCGATCACGCCGATGATCACGCCCTCGCCCGCGTTCTTCACGCCGCCATTGGCGCTCCAGAGCGTCGTCGACAGCTTCAGGAACGTCGGCGTGTGCGACGTGCGCAGATGCACGATGCGGTCGGGCCGCACCATTGCCACGTCAGGATGCGACTCGAGCGCCTCCACTTGGTCTTGATTCAGTCGCGCGCCGAACGCGTTCACCGCGTAGGTGTAGCTGCGAGGAAAGGAGATAATAGGGAGATGGGAGGGGGGCGGAGAGATTAAGAGACGAAGGGAGAGAGGGGCGGTGGTTGGGGTGAAAAGGAGAGGGAAGGGTTTCAAACACTCTGTGGTATTAGCGCCTTGTAATCCCAAACACTGAAGCACACACAGCTTCTGTCATAGAGCTCTCTCTACATACCTTCTGAAGATGTTCTTAGAGGAAATGTTCACTGACGCTGCGATGTCCTGTTGGAGCTTTCCCAGAAACTTCTGGAAAGCTTGCACGCCAGAGGCCCTGATATCGGCGCGCAGCGGGCGAAACCGCTGGCGAATGTCGTTCATGGCGCCATTAACGGCGTCGCTGATACCGTGACCGATGTCGCCCAGAGCGTCGCCGATGGACGACGTCGTTAGCAGCGACGAGTCTGCGACGTCGGGTGCCGTCGCGGCATAGCCCTTGATCCCTCCGCGGTAGTTCAGGATAGGCGGCGCGGAGCGCAAATAGACTATGTACGAACTGGAGGGAGTCACCGTTGATCCGCCATCTGTGCAACGTGCGGGGGGGTTGGGAGGGGAGGGGGGAGCGAGAGGGTAAAAGGGGTAGGGACGAACGAGCGAGGGGAATTATCAGATGATTCTGTCATGGCCGTGGACTCTGCTAGCAGCCGCGCGATCTCTCAAGCCTCTCATGCGCCGTGTTTTCAACCGTCCCAACCCGCCTCGACATACACGGTAAGCACCACGACTTTCCTTTCAAATTACCCTTTCGCCCGTAAGTTTCACGGCTCTCGCTCCTCAAAGGCACGCCGATGCCCAGTCGCAGAGCGCGCAACATACCGTTTCTATTAGTAAGTCGATACGGCCTTTTGAGGCCTTTTGAGCTGCCTATCCTCCAAGAGTCCTGGGCCCACGCAGCGCAACGCTCAGGTTACGGTCATACACACAGAAAATGATCCCCTCCGTGAGCCGACTTTCAAGGCGCCTTACTTGCGTCCGGCTTGGGTGACGGCATGCACGATTCGCTGTGAGTGCTACCGTTATAACTCCGCCGCGAGAGAGTTGTTATAAGAGATTCTCGCCAGCCGCCGCGCGTGTGACTTAAAGAGGGTGTACTCTCAAGCTATGAAAAGAAGCGTAGAGCCCTGGCATCATCCCCTGCGGTTGAGTCGATTCCCAAGCCAGCGAACACTATCCGAGTGCCAGAGACCGACGCGACCTTTAGTCGGCGGCGCCCCAAAGTCCACCGCACGTCATTGACCGTCACTGACCGTCACTGACCGACCAGCAAATCCGCATATTGCATTTCGGATTCAGTTCTCGTACTTGTCTCGGTCCGACGGATGCCCGCGCCGCGCGGACAGCCGCACAGCGTTTGCGAGAGGAATTGGCGGCGAATAATTACCTGATGCTTCGGCGCCATGGACAGGTTGTAGGAGCCGTCGCTTGTCTAGAGACAAAGCGAGAAAGGCGGCGAGCAGAACAAGCGGGAGATTGGAGCTTCTCCGGGGAAGGATGCGTGGAGGAGAGCCTATCAGCACCCTTCGGGAACGCATCGCTGCTGCTGCTGCTGCTGTTTCCGCGCCTCCTCTACGCTATCACTGGGGGGATCAACGACGACGCGTCGCGCCAGGGCACACGACGCGTCGCGTATAGACCGCCGTTTTGAAGGAGCGAAAGAATGAGCCAGTAGAATTGTTTCAAAGCACCAAGAGTGGAGGTTGAGCTGGACAAGTTCTAGTTAGTTTAGAGAGGAATGCGCGAGAAGGCCCGATTAAATTGCCCCTACAGCGTAAGGGAAGAAGCTAGGACGTAAGAGCGAAGATGGAGAGAGGGACGTGCTAAGAAGTCGCGGTCCAGGAAGGGTGAAGTGACGGTCTAGATCTGAATGGAGCGCGGCTTTTTCTAGAGGTTCAGGTTGAAAGGGATGGCGGCTGTGAATGACGGAATGACGGATTTGATGGAACAGCTGGTCATGCATAGGATGGTCTTGCTTGGACGCAAAAGGAGGCGAGACATGCTGGGCGGTGAGAATCCTGCCTGACGTAAAGGGTCACAGTTCCTTGGTGTCGAGTGGGTATAGTTGACAGCGAAATGCCGACGGCAGGAAAAACTACGGGCCAAAAGGGCGATTGAGACGTGAGGTGGGTGATGACTGGTGGGTGTCGGTGTCACAAAGGAGGATCCAGGCTACTCCACGCAAGCCGCGCACAGCTCGACTCGGGCCTGCAGTTTTGCGAGTGGGGGTAGGGCTGACGTGGTTTCCACTATACCTAGTCGGGCAAATTGATTTGGAAACAAGCCGCAAGGCATACGAGGGGCCGAGAGCACGGGAGAGCGCGTGATGCGTGCATCATGGTGAGGTTTGGTGGTGGGGAGGAGGGTCAGAAGGGAGGGGCGGAGCGGACATCAGCAGACGGCCAATGTCGAAATTGAAATGACGGTTGCTCAAATTTCGGGTTTCGGGCTCACGAGGAGGGCCATTTCCCGTGCCGCGGGTTCGAGGCGCCGCGCGGGGATAGGCTGGGCCACAAAAAAATTGCACAGTGACAACGAATTGCCGCTGCGGCTCACTGGCTTGCTTGAGCCACGTCGGAGGCTCTGGACTTGCACTTGACGAAATGCTAACTGGTAACGCGCTGAGTCTTCGTTGTTACGCCAGAACAAACAGTTTTGAGTCTGTAAGGACAAGCTAAACTACATATTTCATACATCAAACAGACTTCATATACACCCTCATACTTGATAAAATATTTACGATTTGATGTTTTAGAGCTTTTAATCGTGAATTTAACATCTGTAAGATAAACAAGATAGAGAATTTGGTACATTATCGTTGCTGTCAGATAGACAGGAAAGTAACAGATCTTATGTTGTTTGTTAGTGACTTATGTCGAGGAGGGTATCCACCGTGGCGCTGATGTGACCTGCCATGAAGGCATTCCAGGTGTCCAGGTGTCCTGTAGGATTCCCGATCAGGGGGGGCAACAGTTGCTGCCCCACCAACCATCGCAGTGGAGATGTTTTCAGGTCGCAGCGAATGATAACGCTTGGATCCTGGAGGCATCGCTCCTCGTGGGGCGGAGCGGAATTCCCTTGCTCCTTTCTGGAACTAACACCTAGCCAACCACCACGAAATGCACCAATGGGGAATGACACGACACGTCACCTGCAGCAAACCGTCGCCAGATCGAACTCGGTCGGGAGGTGTGCGCTGCGTTAATAGAGCATTCCCCGCTAGGCTCAACGACCAGCGCGACTTTGCGCACCACGACCAACCCTTCCCCTTGCGGACTGATGTTTCTTCCCCCTCCCACCCCAGCATTTCCTGGTTTCTCGGTTTCCCGCTCAAAGCCCCCCTTCCCCCACCCGCTCGTTCCCCCTCTCCATCCTCCCCCTCTCCCGCCAGTCCCCCCTTTTCCTCCACCAACCAACCCCTGCCCAGCTTTCTCCCACTTCCCACATTTACATGCTTCACAACTTCTCCCGATTTCTGCACTGCAATTCTGTGTTCCAATTTCAAGCTTGTTCCCCCTACTGATCAGCTAAGCCATCATGGCCCGCCCGGCTGTTTCCGTAGCCAAAGCGGCTCTCGCCGTGCTAAGCTTCGCATGCCTCCTCGCACTTGCGGTCGGCGCAGATTCGAAAGTGGTCGAGCTGAATAAGAGCAATTTTGACGAGGTCATCGGCCTCACAGACAACGTGTTCGTCAAATTCTACACGCCATGGTGCGTGCACACATTAAGTCCGATCCCGTCCCTACTAGTGTGTATCACTGAAATGCATGTCAATCGGCACGTTTCTCTACATTCGACATCTCACTTCATCTAGATTTTTGCAAATCTCGTCATTACATGATCGCCATTACCGTCTCTGTGTGCTTTACTTCTCTTCCGTGCATTGGAACCGGCTTACAGGTGCGGCCACTGCAAGCGTCTGGCTCCGGACTGGGAGAAGGTCGCTCTTTTGTACCGCACTACACCGGACATTGTCATCGCTAAGGCACGTCACGCGCTTCCTTGTCTCTCATTTCTGCAAGTGCTCGTCTTCCTGTTGCATGTGCAACATCTTACAGCATCACTGTCTGCTGATATCTCGAAGTTCATTCCACTGAAGTCCGTGACGCGTACAATAATTGAATCATAGGAGACTGTCTGAGCACAATATGTCACTGCTAACCCATTTTATCAAGGTCTATCCTCCACCTTTCCCTCCCCTTCTTCCCCCTCTCCCCCTTCCTATCCTCCGGCCCTCTCTCCTCTCTCTCCTTCCGCCCTCTTTCATATCCCCCTGTTTTGCCGAGTTCAGCTGGACTGCGAGGCGGAGAAGGAGATCTGTCAGAAGTTTGGTGTCGCGGGCTACCCCACACTCAAATTCTTCCCCGCGCAGGCCACCACCCCGCGAGAGTACGTTTCTCAACGCGTGCGTCTCGCATTCATCGAACTCTTTTCCTTCATGGTTCTTCGCATTTCCGCCTTGTCTCTCCATTATGTGTATTTATAGTGTTTATTTAACAATGAATTGATCTGCTGTACCCGTCTCTCCCCGTGCGCCTCGTCCCCGCGCGCGCCAGCTTCGCGGAGCAGCGCACGCTCGAGAACATCGTCGCCTTCCTCAACAAGAAGCTCGGTACGACTCACCGTTCATGCATGCACCACAACCACGCGCGCGCCCCGCTTTGCACCCACTCACCCCCCTCCCCAGCTTGCGCCATGCGCCATTCCGCCTTTCACTGCAGTATGGCGTTAGGATTCTCCGCGCGAAGCGTGACGCTCTTACGCCAGCACATAATGTGGCCTCTCCAAGCACTTGCTTCATGCAATCGCCCTCTACCCATTCCTTCCTGTCCGTACCCGCCTGTGTCCCGTTCTCAACATGCTCCCCCCCACCCCACCCTTTTTCCCCCTCTCCCCCCCGGCCCCCCTCTCCCCCGTCTCCGCCCTGCGCCTCTCCTCTTTCCGCATTTTCCCCCGTTTCTCCCCACGCGGGTGCGCGCGCGGGAGGCAGGCTCGAAGATCGTGCTGCCGACGGTGCAGTCGGACGTGCTGGCGCTGACGATCAAGACGTTCGACGAGGTGGTCCTGGACCGCGAGAAGAACGTGCTTGTTGAATTCTACGCGCCCTGGTGAGTGTTGATTTGAGTCCTCAACCCAAAATCAATCTCGATGTGTTGGCGGGCGCTGGCGATCAAGTCGTTTGATAGGCCGTGCTGGGCCATGAGAAGAACGTGCTCGTCGAGTTCTACGCGCCCTGGTGAGTTTTGATTTGAGTCTTCGGCCCAAAGGCATCTCGATGTGGTGGCGCCGACGGTCAAGACGTTCGACGAGGTCGTGCTGGACCGCGTCCGCGAGAAGAACGTGCTCGTCGAGTTCTACGCGCCCTGGTGAGTGCGGCGGAGCGGGAAAGAGGGGGAACGGAAGGAGGGGAGGGGTGAGGGGGGGATTGAGAAGATCGTGAGGTAAGGGGGATGAATGGGGAGGTGAGAGCATAGGGTTTGTTGCCAATTCAGGGTAGTGCGTGTTGTGAAGGGAAGGAGGGTGGTTCTGCCACGTCATTTCCCTAAACCCTAACGTAACAACCACATACGAAGAATGTAACGTTTGGTGATTTGTGACGCATGTCCTCTCTGGACTTGTTCCACCTTGCCGTATATCTGCCCGCCGTGGTTGCATGCAAGCATTCACACTCGCTCTGCCACGCTCATCCTCTCACCGCACAGCACTGCACTGCACTCTCTCCCAGACCTCTCCTCCTAAACCGCTCGTCCTCTCTACCTTCGTCTCGCCGCTCCCCTCCCATTTCCTTAGTTCTTTCTGTGCCCTTGGCCCCCCGCTCCGCGTTTGCTGTACAGGTGCGCTCACTGCAAGAGCCTTGCTCCCGTAAGTCGCCCTCGCCTCTTTCTCAGCTCTTTCGCATCCCCTCGTAGCCCCTGTTTCTCCTTCCTTCCTGCACTATGCCCTCTCTTCCCCTCTCTTCCCCTCGCTTCCCCTCTCTTCCCCTCTTGTTCCTGTCCTTGTTGCACCCTCTCTGTTGCAGTCGCTTTGCATGCCATGCCCTCATTCCCGCCCCTCTCCATTACCACTCTCCTCTCACGCCCTTGCCTCAACTCCCGCCCTAACACCCGACCCATTTCCCCTCTCGCACCGTTCTCCATCCTCCGTTTGATTCAACCCCCCGTTTCCTCGCCATCCACCCCACCGTATCCCCTTCCTTCTCTTCCCCTCTCCCTTCCCTCTCCCCCACCCCCCTCCTCCCCCTTTCCCCTTGCTGCACAGACGTACGAGAAGCTAGCGCAGATCTTCAAGCCGGAGAAGGACATTGTCATTGCCAAGGTGGACGGCGAAGCCGAGAAGTTCCTCGCCCAGAGGTGTGTAAAGCAAAGAGCGGCCCTGTTCCTGTGCCCGTGGGTGTGGTGCGGAGGGGGACGAAATCAGTTTACCATATTGGGTGGTGGGGAGTCGGTGCAGATACAAGGTAGGGTATTGGGTTTCCTGACAGTGTGGTGGTTCATGGTCCCTAAAGGACAACAAGGACGGCCGGGAGTACCAGGTGGGACACCTCTTGAGGCGCTGAATAAACCCCAACTGCCCCATCCGTCCCATGGCTCTCGTCCTTGCACAATGACCAACGCAGGTACAAGGTGTCGGGGTTCCCGACGGTGTGGTGGTTCCCCAAGGACAACAAGGACGGCGAGGAGTACCAGGTGGGGCGCGAGCTCAACGACTTCGTTGGCTACATCAACGCCAAGGCCGGCAAGTTCAGGAGCGACACCGGCGGCTACAGCAGCCAGGTGCGTGTGCTGTGCTGCCCTGGGTGTTGCTGTTCTGTGTGTGCTTCTCTGTGTGTGTTGGGTGTGTCGCTGTGTGTGATGTGTGGGACGGAGGCAGATTGATGTCGTTGGGTGGGGTGTGCTGGTGCTGACAGCTGAATCGTTACCTTGTAACCCGAACCCTGAGAGCCTGGTTGGTAACCAGCACCAGCCGTATGTATGCTGACTTGGAGGAAGATTTAGCTGTGAGCACACACGAGCCGTGGCCATGGCATTGTCTCACTGAGTGTTGTTCAGTCTCCCTGGATTCGCCTTCAGCATGGTCAGCTTGCTCCATCCGCCACCCTTTTGTTTCTCCCACCCTCTCCATCCTTGTTCCTGCAGGCTGGGCGTGTGCTGGCTCTGGACGAGTTGGCGCCGCAGTTGATGAATGCAGAGGGCGAGGAGGCAAGAAGATGAGAGCTGCTATCGAGTCCAACCAGAATCCACCACCTTTTCCGGTTTCCCTCACACTCTTTCCATCCCTGCAGGCTGGGCGCGTGCCGGCTCTGGACGAGTTGGCTCAGCAGTTCATGAATGCAGAGGGCGAGGAGGCGAGGAAAGCTGTGCTGGCGCAGGCAGAGGCGGCTGTGGCTGCTGTGGACCCCGCCAACGAGCTGCAGACCAAGTGCGTGCCGTGTGGGATTGTGTGATGAGCGGGATGAAGGGATGAGCGGGATGAGCGAGTGAGACATGCTCAAGGAAAGGGTGAGTGGACTGTGTTCTCGGAGGAGTCAGACGTGCCCTGCACTTCCTGTGCACTTCCTGTGTTCTCCCACACTTGCGCCCACAACTAGTCGCCGCACCAATGCAACAACAGCTCAAAACTTGGCCAGCGGTTTTCCATAGCCTCAACAATCACCTTAGCAGTCCCCATAGTCATGGCATAAATCACCCTAGCATCTGTGTGGTCCTTTGAGACTCGCCTCATCCCTCTCACCTCCTCATCCCTTATCCCCTCTTCCTCTCTCATCCCTACTCACCACCACCTCTGTACCTGCCCCTCCCCCCCTCCCTCTCTTGCATGCTCCACCAGGGGGGCGGCGCACTATGTGAAGACAATGAAGGCAGTGCTGGAGCCAGAGAAGGGAGACGCCTACATTGAGAAGGAGGTTGCTTATTGCTAAGGCGCCTCAGAATCGGTCCCCTCACTCCCTGGTTTCCACCTGTGTGCCGTTACGCTGTTTCACCCATGCATGAACCACCAGGGGAGCGGCGCATTACGTGAAGACGATGAAGGCAGTGCTGGACCCAGAGAAGGGAGACGCCTACATTGAGAAGGAGGTTGCTCGCGTTGGCAAGCACCTTGCTGGGGTATGTATGACTGTCGCCTGCACCTGGTGAAACCTGGTAGTGTTCATGCCCTTGCTTGTAACTTGTGGCCTGTAGCACGTAACCTGTAGCATCTCAACACATCCATACTCATCAGCACCCCTCTCCATTGCCACCTCTGCCTGATGTCCACTCTCCATCCCTCGCCTCTCTTTCCCTGCAGGAACTGAAGCTGGCAACGCGGGAGACCATGAGCCTGCGCCACAACATTCTCTCTGCCTTCCTGCCCCCGCCCCCCCCTCCTGCGGCGGCTGCTGAGGAGAGCAAGCCAGAGGGTGCTGCTGATGCTGCACCTGAAGCCGAACCCGGCACTGCCACCGCATGAGAATCAATTCTTGTGTAACAGATGTTACCAGGGGTACACTGCACTGTACGCGCTGGGCAGCTGTAGTGCATGGAATTGTGGAAGGGTGCCATTTGTGCTTGTGCATGTTGGTTGTCGGCAGTTGATGCGAAGTCTTAGGCTTTCTATTCTAACAGCTTTGGAAGGCTACTATACTATCTGTAGCCTAGCTCCATTCTTTAGGGCATTGCACGCCTCTTCAAGTGTTCAGAATTTAGGCGTGTTTGGAAATTGGGATTGGAAGCGCATCGGGTGTGGGTAAATGTCAGCACAGGAATCTCATCTCAACTCGGTCATGCCTCAGTCACTGCTCAATCATCCATCTACGCATTATTTCATCAACTACCACAGGGATCAGGTCAATCCTACATGCCCAGTTTAGCAGCTTCTGGCCATTCCTCGACAAACTACTGGCGCGGAAAATCCAGCTAGACTTTGCCAAAGCGGGAGCACTGCACCTGTGTCTTGTGGGAACAAAAATAACTTCGTATTTCTGGAACCATCTCTCATGTCTCATGACTAGAAAAGCCACAGGTTTAAGTAGGGTGGACTTAGGAGGTTTCGGGCAAGTGTGGCTCTAAAAGACGCCAAAGATGGTGGCAGCTGCAAAGATAAGGAAGAGCACCCCCCCAGCGATGCCAATCTGCGTGGAATGAAAGGGTGCGACGGACACAGGGAGGCAAGACGTGCATGGGTATGGTGGGAAGGGGGAATGGAAGGGGGGAATGGGAGGGGGGAATTGAGGGGGGGGAATGGGAAGGGGGAATGGGAGGGTTAGAAGTGTATCAGGATGGGATGGGGAGGTAGGAAGAAAAGGGGAGGCCGGAGGGAGGACGTGGACAGGGCAAGTTTTTCTAGCCTATAGAAAGAAATTGCATTGGAAGGCTAAATTAAAATACGATATGCAGCAGCAGATTTCAAGAGGGCCCGAAAGTGTAAATATAAGGAATGCATGAACGAGGTGGGGAGGATGGGAGGGACATGTGTTTGGATTGGAACTGGGGCGGGCAGGGAGGCATGGGAGGAAGGAACTGGGGGGCGTACGAAGCGCTCGGATATGTGCTTGGAGAGCAGAGCGCCTCCTATGACTGCCAGGCCTGTTGCTAGGAGATGCCCCACTGTAGCCCCCAAGGCCACCCCCACAGGATTCTGCCCATGTGCGGAGACAGACAGGGGGGATGGGAGGAGAGGAGAGAGGAGGGAACAGGGGGAGACAGAGAAGGATAGGGGGAGATGGGGAGGGGGACAGGGGGAGACACAGTGAGACAGCGTGAGACAGGGGGAGACGGGCGGAAGGGCGAGGGGAGACGGCGGGAGACGGGGGGAGACAGGGGGAGACACGGGGAAGGACGGGGAGACAGCGGGACAAAAGGGAGGTGCACCGTGCATGGGGAAGGGAAGAGCCAAGGTGAGTGATGCCCGAGAGTAGGCTGCTTCTCAGGCAAAGAAGAGAACCGCAGCAATAGCATCACAAGCACGCAAAAAAAGGGGGATTATGGGTTCTGGCTCAGGCAAGGAGGAGAATGGTTATGAGCATGGTGTAACAGTGCTGTTTCAAGTGCGATTGTGGCAATTGGAGTTGTGAGTTTCGGGTTGAGGTGAGGTGGAGGAGGGAGGTGTACACACCTGGGCTGCTCCGAGTGCAATGGTTGCCAGCATGGATCGATCTCCCCATTCCTGGTGGGGGGAGGTCGTGGGAACAGGGTTGGATGGATTGTTGCGAGATAAGGATGGGAAGAGGAGGAAAGGGGAGGCATGCAGGCATGCGGGATGATAGTCACTGCACAGCGCAGTGCAATGGGGTGACACACTGAACGATTTTCTAGAAGTCTCAAAAAACGCTCACAAGGGGTGATGGCACACTGTATGTGAGAGAGGCTTTTATTGAGTCGCCTCAAAAGTAGATATTGAGCCGCCACAATACAATAAGGGGTGTGACGACTTGACACACTGCGTGTTGTGAGAGAGGCACATGCAAAGAAGCTGTAAGTGGATCACTTGACAGAGCTTGTTTCGAAGATGCCTTACAGCAAGAAAGAAAGAAAGAAAGAAAGAAAGAAAGAAAGAAAGAAAGAAAGAAAGAAAGAAAGAAAGAACAAACGGCGGCGGCAAGACGTAAGGAGTATTATGAGAAGTGAAGGCGTGCATGTGTGTGTATGTGTGCCAGTCAGACGGTGAGGGAGGGACGGAGGAAGAGAGTGGGAGAGTGGGTAAACGAAGCGTACTGCAAGGAAGATGAGGGAGAAGGCCTCCCAGAAGACCTCAAGATTAGTGGCCACTGGCTTCTCAGCCTGCAAATGGACAGATCCAGTGGAAGGAGATATGATTTAATGTCATGCACGCACACGGATTGAAGCCGAGGTGGGTGCATGCGTTAGAGAACCTGCATAAACCTTATGACTGAATTAGTTTCAACCCTTTGTAAGTTCGGATGGACACGGACCATCTACGTGAAATGAGCCGTGTTGTGAGTCGTAAGTTCGGATGAAAATGAATCATTTAGCATCTTGTCGATCATATGGACCAACGCTCGCGCACCCCCTCCCAACCCCCCTCCTCCCCTTCCCTTCTTCCCTCCCCTCCTCGCCCACTAACAAATACACACACACGCTCTTACATGCACACGCACGCACACGCGCTCACCTCAGCCTTCTCCACAAACTCCCTCGCTTCTGCAAGCTCCCCCTCCTCCTCGTCCCCCTCCGCTGCCCCAGCGGCCGAACCCGCAGCCGGCGCAGCAGCAGCAGCAGCAGCAGGCATGGGGGCGGCGGGCAGTTTGAGAGCGGATTGGATGGACCGGATACCGAACCACACGAGCAGCGCACATGCCAGGTACTCTCCCACCGGGATGGCTGCATGCACGAGAGGGGGGGGGGGGGGGGGGGCGGAGGGAGAGGTTGAGAGGGGTGAGGGTGGAGTTTAGGGAAAGAAGAAGGAGGGTGAGTGAGTGGCACCAAAACGGCCAGTGGCACAAGGATTGGTGCGGAGCAGGTGGCGGGAGGGCATGGGGGTGGCCGGCAGGTTGAGCGGGAACTGGATGGAGCAGACGCTGAGCCAGAACCACACGAGCAGCGCACATGCGAGGTACTCGCCCACAGGGATGGCTACATGGGGGGATGGATGTTGGGGAAGGTGGTGGAGGGGGAAAGGAAGGGAGGGAAGAGGGGTGTGGGTGGTGTTTGGGAAGCAGCAGCAGCAGGAGCAGGTCTCAAAGCGTTCACACGTGGATCAAGCAGCAGCATCAGAGTTGCGTCGAAGGATGATAGGGAGGGAATGGTTCTTGCTTACGCAATCAGTCATTTCCCTCCCTATCATCCTTCGACGCAACTCTGATGCTGCTGCTTGATCCACGTGTGAACGCATTGAGACCTGCTCCTGCGGCTGCTTCTGCTGCTGCTCCTCCTCCTCCTCCTCCTCCTCCCCCTCCTCGCTTCCAGTACGCTGTCTTTTCCTCCTCGCAGGGGTAGGGGCACGTGCAGGGGCTGGGGCAGGGGCAGGCGCCGCGACAGGAGGGACAGGGGCAGGAGCATGGCCAGGGGCCGCGGCAGGGGCAAGGACAGGGGCAGGGGCAACGGATTCTGATGGTCCGGCTGCTGATGGTGGTGCTGCTGCAGGCCCAATTGTGTGAGATGATACGGAAGGGTCGCACGTGCGGGAAGTGATCAGCTTGTGAGCGTGTCTTGTGCACAGTTGTGGGGTTGTTCTTGAGAAAGGCATTTCTTGTGTTTTTTTTGCAAAGAGAAACAGAGAGGATGAAAGAATGCAAGCATGGGAGGCGGAGGAGGGGAGAGGGTGGTGGGAGGGCGGAGGGGAGACTCTCCTCGGGAAAGGGAGGGCGGGAGGCAGAGAGGGAGAGAGCGCGCACTCACAGGTGTGCAGCTGTGCGGGCACTTCACGGAAGAGGCGTCCAATGCCCGCGGAGATGGCGGACATGATGCCCAGCGCCGACACTGCCCCGCTCAGCACCTGCGGGGGGAAGTGAGGGACGAGGGAGGCGGGAAGGGGGGAGGCGGGGAGGGGCGCAACGCAGGGCTGAGGGGAGATGGCGGACATGATGCCCAGCGCCGACACTGCCCCGCTCAGCACCTGTGTGGGGAAGGGGGGAGGGGGAAGGGGGGGAGGAGGAGCGCAGCACAGGGGAAAGGGCACACATCGAGGTTTTAGAGTTGAGTCATTAACAAAAGCGGACACTGCTCCACACAGTACCTGCAGGGGGAGGGGGAAGGGGGAGGAGCGGGCACGAAGGGTGAGGGACGGGAGGGGGGTGGGTTGAGAAGGGGTGGGGGAAGGCAGGGGGAAAAGAATGCAGTGCTGCCAGTCCCGAGCGCAAGACAGTAACACTAACGGGATGACGGAAAAAAGGGCTGATGCTAATGGGGACAGATAGCAAGGAGATCTATAGAGAGGGAGAAGACAACAGGAAGACTATAAACAAAAAAAGTGAGAATTCTTTAGAGTGACTCGATACTACCGAGGGAGCAAGGGAGGCGTATGGAGAGGGAGATGGGCGGGAACGTGGAGTGGGGCGTAAGTGGGTGGGCGAGTGCGGAAGCAACTCACGAGCAGCTTAGAGTGGCGCATGGCTAGCAGCGCCGCAATGAAGAACGTCTGCCGTGGTGCATGGAAGACACGGAGGCAGGCACGGAGGAGGGAGGGAGGGGGGAAGGCACGCAGGGGTGAATGGAAAGGAAGGGGTAAAGGCGGAGAGGTAGGCAGCAGCAGCAGCAGCAGCAGCAACAGCAGCAGCAACAGCAGGCAGGAAGTCGGCAACGACAGGATTGATTGGGAAACGGGCACATTACAGAAATGCTGTATAGCCAAAAGTAAACTCACGTCCATATTCACTTCATCTCATCCAATTACACCAGCCCAACCCAGCTAAACCCAGCTGAACCCAACCAAGCTCAAACCAGCTGCACCCAGGTCAAACCAAGTCAACGCGGGTCAACGCAGGTCACCTTATCACCGATCTCGGAGACAAAGATGAGGGAGAACGCGGCGGTGAACCCGGACTTGGCAAACACGGATATGATACTCGACGGCCCGCCAGCCCACACCGTCGCTCCCACTGCCGCCGCCACCACCGACGCCGCCGCCACCGCCGCTATCCGCAGCGCGCGCGCGCCGCCGTTCCCCCCGTTCCCATCGTTCTGCGCGACCGCGGGGTCAGAACCGGACGGCCCGGCGACGCTGCCGCTGCTGGCGGCCGCAATTAACGGGCTAGAGAGCGACTCGCTCATGCCGCCGCTGCTGCTGCTGCTGCTGGAGAACGGCTGCCGTCTTGGTTGTCCTGAAGCAAACCAAGAAGAAGTTAGTAACGGGTATAGAGACGGGCGACTCAAAGCAGCGCACGGGACTCAAAAGCAACGCTGATCGATCATGAGCAGCAGCGAGTCGCGGGGCGATCGAGGCGTCAACGTAACGGCAGGTGGGAAAGCAAGGTCTCAGAAAACAAACTTGGATGTAGAGCACTTTATATCATATCGAATCAAATCGAATCAATCACCGTCGAACGCGTAGCTGACACACTCATCTAAATATCACCTGGGGAGCAAATCGACGATCGCGCGCGTTGCGACAAGCATCGAACCGAAAACGACCGTTCGCCGCCACTCTTGCCAATTGGCAAGCTGAACTTTCGCTGGACCAATTGGCTGCTGCCAAGTGGCGCCGCTGACCAGGAGGCTGGCGACGATGGCCTGGCTTGAGGAGCCGAATCGCAGGTGTCAGTGGGATGACAGCTGGCAGAGCAAATCGCTGGGCGGCATGGGTGGGAGGAGACGAGCGCTGACACCATGGCTGCCTCTAAACAGGCAGCGACTGACGAACCGCGACGCGACTATAAGAGGGGAGCGACTAGCCGGGATGGCAAGAAGCAGGTGTGACGGCGACGAGGCGACAATTACGTGGAGGGACGGCCGAATGGGGGGTGTCGTGTTGACCCGGGCGAGGATGACGCAGGATCCTAGCGAGCGATGCGATGCGAGACCACCGAGGTTGCCTGATTCTGCGGCTGGGATGCTCACCAATGGATCAATGCAGAGAATAAACCACTCGTCACGTCAGCTGCCTGAACCAAACCAGTGGGCCAGAAACTATTCCCAAGGGACGCTTCTCGCGCTGCTGCTGCTTCTTACCTGCCTAGCTGGCAAGTGAGGCAGGTGAGGGAGTGCTTCGGCGCACGTTGTGTCATGGCCGAACCAGCAACTAACCTGAGCTGGCAGGTATGGTCTGTCGAGGGGGCTGGCGTGTTTGGTAAGCAAACTTTTGGTTCGGCGGTTAGAAGCCTTGGTTTCCGCTCGTGGCGAGGTTGGGTTTGCCTGACCATGGGAGGACACGCTGATCGGTTTGGTCGGAAATGGATCAGACTGGATGATGTTCTGGTGTACAGTACACTGCGAATCTTCATGAGAGTGAACCATACGAGATGAAAGTTCCGTGTCAGGCAATATTTCTCACTCCAAGATAATTTTACTATATAGAGGATAAGAATAAACAAAGGTGCAAGCATATTCTCGGGTAAGACGAACCGGTTTGTATATCATATGTGCGTTACCGGACGGTACTGCGCGTTACAGTGCGCTTCGCGCAAAATATGCTATCATAGGAACCTACACACATGCCACGCCAGATTACCAATCTAGCATGCAAGCAATAAACGTCAGAGTGCGCGTTGGCAACAACTGCGCCAATGGCAACATCGGCTCAAGCGCAGGGTGTAATTTCCTTCCCGCGCAATAGGTACCACGGGCAATATATTCTACTCGTCCCTCTCGTATCAGCCATGACATTCGTCGGCACAGCAGCCACCACCACCACCGCAGCACCTGCGGAAACGTCCACAGCGCGCGTCGCCATAGCCAGCTCGTTACTCCACGCGCACCCCTGGGCGCTGCTCGTCGGCTCGGCTCTTGTCGTCGTCGCCGCAGGGACCTATCTCCGTCGGCGCTGGCAACGGCGCGCTCAGGCTTCTGTGCCGCCAGCTCAGCGTCAGTCGACGCCCACGCAGTCAGGTTCGGCCCATGAGCGCGCGGGGATTTTATAGTCGACTTTATAGTATCAAGTCACCTCCCGTCGGTTAGGTTAGCCTCGAAGGCTTGCTCTCACCTTCTTACTATTCGCGGGCTGCTGACCTGTGAATTCTAGTTACGGTTACCCCGCTGCCCTGCCCGCCTTTTGGAGAGTACATTCGCTACTTCCTTTATTTCACAACTTTCTGTCTTTCCCTCCATCGTTCTGTCTTTCTCTCTCACATGTTCATACACGCACACTTTCATATCTGCTACCATTCATAATTTCAATCTCAGGATCCAAAGCTCCTATGGATTCAACAGGTATGACACACCAGCACCAACAGCAGCAGCAGAGGCGGCATGAGCAAGCCAGGGCGAGACCAACCTCTTCCTCCGCGCAACACCCTTCAAGAAAGCAGCAGCTAGACGAACAGAGGCGCGCTGCAATGGAACGCCTACAGCAGCAGCAGGACCAGGCTGCAGCCGAGTGGAAAGCACATGAGGCTGAGCGGAAGGAGGAGGAGCGGAGGAGGGAGGAGGCAAAGAGGCACAAGCATCTGCAGGAGCTGGAGGAGGAGGAGGTGCGGCTGGGGTTCAAGCATAAGGAGGAAGGGGACTGGGAGAGAGGCAAGGGTAAGGGGAAGATGGAGTAGTGGTTAGGTTGGGTGAAGGAAGGGTGTAGTGTGGTGGTGCGTCCTTCTGTGGTGGGTGGGTTGTTTTGACTTTTAGTTTCTGGTTACTGTACTGTATTGTTGCTGAGGGTTACGTTTGGTTGATGGTCCTATTTAGCATCTTCATTCAGCATTTACTTTGAGCAAATACATATGGTAGTAGTGCTCGTGTACAGTATGCATGAATGGCAAGAATGTTGCATGATAATGGAATAAGGGTTCGTGCTTGTTGAGCAGTGCTGTTGTTAAATTGCAGTATTTACATGCTGGTAGTATGGTATGGTACAGTACCAGTCACGAAGTACTACGGCCAATGCACACAGCGGTACTGCTATGTAACACAAGACACTAGGCACAGCAGTGTGCCAGTTGAATCTGAGTACGCCCAGCACAAAAAGGAGCCTACTTTGGTGCAAAGAATACGCATCTGCTACCGTATACACAATACAACCCAAGACCCTACACACTGTAAAGATCTTCTATGCCGTCTCTTGCCAGAAAAGAGGCATGCCCAAAGACTGAAGAACTGCAGTGGCAGTAGCAGCAGCAGCCGTGCCAGCCATACCTCCTGCTCTCTCTGACTCTCGCTCTCTATCTCTGTACGTGGTTGGAGCAGGGGAGGTGTCTCGCTCTTGCACTACGCGGTGGGAGCAGGTGGCCTGTACGTGTCCCTCCGCCTGAGTCCCTGCGAGGAGAACGAGGAGGGCTGCTGCAGGTACACAGTGGTGGGATCATTAGGATCCATGTATGCACTGCGCATCATCTCATCCACTGGCAATCGCTGCGAGGGAAGAGGATCCATGGCTGGGGTAGCAGCAGGGGGAGACGAGGAAAAGGAGGAGGAGGAGTTTGGTGTGGTGGGTGCGGCGGCGGGCGAGGCGGGGAAGGAGGAGGGGTGCGCGGAGGCGCGGAGGCCGCGGAGGATGGAGAAGAAGAGTGGCAGGAAGGTGCCCACCCCGCCGTGCATGAAGTAGATTGTGAAGGCGTGGGGAGCCTGCATGGCTGCATGCACACTGCTGTCTGCCACCTGGAGGGGGGTTGGTTTGAGAGGGGTCAAATGGGGTGGGGTGGGTTGCAGGAGGGTGGAGATGCGAAGGGAAGTTGGATAACGATGGATCTGGAATCAACACGGACAGCCAGATCGGTACACGGGAAAGTGGAAAGAGACAAATGGACACGGCAAGGGGAAGGCGGGAGAGGTGGAAGAGGCAGGAGAGGCGGGAGAGGCGGGAGAGGCGGGAGAGATAGAGAGGAGGACGAGCGGGCGGAGGGAGGGAGTGAGGCAGGGGAGTGGGGCTCACAGGCAGCACGACGCCTGAGATGTTGTTGGCGCCGAATATGGGCTGGTTGAACTTCTCCCCGTGCACGTACAGCTGTTATGGGGAGTGCGGAGGGGGTAGGGAAGAGAGGTGCCCAGGTGGGATGAGTGAGGGAGGAGGGCATGGGGGAGAGAGGATATGCATAAAGTGTTGAGGAGGGCATGATGGGGAAGTTGGATTGAGCATGACGGGGTGAGTGAGATGCTTTGCGTGTCAGAGTCGCCCGCTTGTATTTTTAAGAAGGAAGTAGGGTTGTGAGCACAAATCAATGGGTATTGCACGTCCTAGCCTAACAAAGGAGCAGGATGGATGTTTAGTGTGAATTTAGGAGATGCCAAGTGAGAAAGAGAGGAAGAAAGGAGGAAGGGATGGAGGGACAAAGAGTGTGGTAAGAGAAGGGGAAAGGTAAGACTGGAAGGCGAAGAAACGGGCGATGGCATGGGCGAGGCGAGGCGAGGAGGACGCATACGAGCAGCATGGGCGAGGCGAGAGGGGCACATACGAGGGGCATGTCGAAGGCGAGGAGCGGCGACTGGGTGGACGGCTGGGCGACAAAGACCATGCGGATGTTGGACAGGAAGAGCGACCCGCGACCCACCCACTTGCCGCTCGGTACCCTGCGGTGAGGAGAAAGCGGGGAGGAGCGGGGAAGCGGGGAGAGGAGGGGAAGGTTTGGGTGCGACGGAAGAGTGGGGTGATGAGGAGGAGGAAGGGCGTGAGAGCGAACGGGGAGGAGGAGATTTGGAAAGTTGCGGCAGTAGAGCACTTGCTGGAAGTCGAAATATGAGTGACCAACATGAAAGGTTGAAAATCAGCCAAACCACGGGTGAAATCATCGGGACGAGAGAAAGAAGGCCGCGATAGTGAAGTCGACGGGTTGATGGGAGAAAGAAGAAAGAGAAGACGGGCTGCAGCGTCTTTTGAGAATTCGCACTGCGGTGATTGTTTAGTTCACCCTGTCCTAGTGATTGATCTAGCGATGGTTCTAGTGATACGCACTGCGGCATCTTATCGACGTGGAACTCGATGCCGTCGCGCCGAAGTACCATCACCTCGCCCACAAACGGCACAGGGATACCCTGACCGTCCAGCTGCGGATTCGCTGCCATGGCTGACCCCGCTGAGCTGAGCAACGTACGCGGTTGAGCGAGGCCTTCGTGCGATTTGCTATCTGGAGATGACTACGCGGTTGTATTGACAAGTTACCGTTAAGCTGGCTGAAGACCATCCGACTGTTAGGGATCCACTAGGTAATTGGAACGGAGGGTGATATTCGATGAATGGTGAACTGGTTGACTGGCAAAAAAAAGTCACTCCGTGATGTAAAATCTGTAAGAAATGACTGGAATACGGACGGTACTGTTTTCGGTGTGCGTGAGGTGTACTGCAGTCAAACCGGATATGTGCGACTATTCGCGATATTGTTACCTTGCCATGTGTGCGAGGGAGGTGTGGTTGGCCGTGGAAAACTCTACAGTTGCCAAATTACGAATTTTTGCGAAGTTAGGGACGACTTGCGAATGTCGCACACAGTGGTGGGTGCACCCCTTTGACAGGAACCTCCTTATCGCATAGCGAAGTCTGGGAGTTTCTGGAACGTTTTAGAACTTACTGCACCGTGATGTACCCGCTAGAACGTCAGGTAAGGCTGGCTGATGGTCGTCCGCGACCCATGCGAACGAAGTTGTCGCGTATGCGAAAGCATTTTCAGGAAAAAGCGAATCACAGGGCTCGCATAAAAAGCGTAATTCTTCCCCATCAAAGGGTGTCTTCGCCACAGGCAACCTCGCTTCTCTCGATTGTTATGTTTCTTTACGACTTCCGTTCCCTGATAAGTGTTGGCAATTTCGTTGTGACCTCTCACCTCTGATGATCCATTTCCGCGCAACCCGAAACATCACATTGATCCATCACCGTCTCCCGACTCGACTTGCTCCTATCCCACACATCCATGGCCGCCTCTGCACGGGTCGCCGTAATATTCGGGTCAATAATAGTGAAAATAGACGAATCAGCCCAAGAATACGTTGCGATAGTTTTGGAAAGAGGCTACAGGAGTGACAGGCACGCAAATTAGGGTTCCCGTTGAAATTAGGGTTTCCAGAATAGTTCGGATCCTGCCAGCCTCGTCACTAGAGAAGCCCACCACACGGATGGAAGCTCCAGAAATTTCTTGGAATCCACTAGAGATCCTTCTACTGTTCCGATGCGTGGCGAATCTAGGACTTTCTGACAAACCTCTTTCCAACTCCTCTCGAACCGTACCTGGAAGCGCAGGGGCCGGAGCGATAGCCGATAACTGCGGTTCAGATGGGTTCGTAGGCCGTGACGGTGACGGCTGGGCGGTAGTGGCGACGGAGATGCAGAAACGGTCGGCGTTTGTGTCTCAGCGGCCGTTGGATCGCCCGCACACCGCGCAGGTGCGTCGGATCCGCATCTGCCTCACCGCTGTCTTCCCGTCTTGCTCTTCTCGCATCCCTCCTCTGGCCTGGCCGTTACGCTTCCGTTGCTGCTCGTGCTGCGCGTGCTGCTCGTGCTGCTTGTGCTTCTTCTGTTGCTCCTGTTGCTCCTATCCAGCTGCTACCGCGGACGGCATTCCATGTACGCTTCTCTCTCCCTTCCCCTGTACGTTGTCAAAGCAACCGCGCATCCCCTTCTTCCCCCCCCCCCGGAATCCGTCCGCCGCTCCCTCGCCTCCTCACTACAGGAGTGCTCGCAAGTATATGCCAGAGTTGCAGGAGGCGTTGCACGGGTCGCTAAGAACGCGCAAGCGGCTGCTGCTGCAAGCATAGGGTTCGCTCCTGCACCTTGTCCCCCCCCCGCCGCCGCCGCCCCCTCCGCCGCCGCCGCTGCTGCTGCTACCACTGCCGCGGCTGCTGCTACTGCCGGTTCACAAGGCATTACTTATGCCGGTTCACACGGCAACAGCAGAGCCAAGAGACTGAAAGGGTGTGACACAAACGAAGGCCGTGTAGGGGGGTTCTTGTTGCCATGCACAGAGGGGCGCTCAGGTAAAGAAGCAGCAGGGGTAGCAGAGAACGAAGGGGTACGGGCAGAGGAGGATAGAGGAGGACGGAAAGAGAGGAGGCAGGAGGGTGAGGAAGAGGGGGGTGAAGAGAGAGAGGGAGAGGGGAAGGGACAGGGACAGAGACAGGATAGAGGAGCAAGGGCGTATGATGGGGATAGAGGGGAGGTGATGGAAGAGCGGGTACGGGCAGTGGTTGTGAAGAGACTACAGCGATGGACGCAAGGCAGAGAGAAGAAGAGGCGTATGGGAGGAGAGGAAGATGGGGGGGAGGGCGCGGTCACGGAGGAAAGGCAGATGCAGGTGCAGCAGGGAAGGCAGGAGCATCAAAGGCAGGAGGAGAAACGGCAGGGAGAGGGGCATATGGCGTCTCTAACCGAGGGTGGGAGCGAGAAAGACGGCAAGGGGGAGGGCGATGGTGAGGGCGAGCGGGAGAGGGGGAGGCAGGGGAGCGTGCAGGAGCGAGGGCAAGGGCATGCAGAGGAGCCAGCAAGGGCAGAGGATTCTGATCGGGCTGTGACCCTAGAGCGCGGTGTTAGGGTTCCGGGTAATGAGAAGCATGTAGGGGAAGCAGGCAGGGAGGGCGGTAGAGAGAGGAGGGGAGATGGATGGAGAGAGGAGGTGCGGAGGAAATGGGGGAGGGGATGGGCAGAGACGGAGAGAAGGGGAGAGAGGAGGTGGAGGTGGAGAGAGGGAGGAGGGGAAGGGGAGAGGAGGAGGCGGGATTGAGGGTTGCTGGTGGGGAGTGTGTGGGTGAGGGTGGGGCGAGAGATGGGGATGGGGAGGAGGAAGGAGAGTCAGCACGTAGGGAAGGGAAGGGTGAGAGAGAGGGCGATTGGGGAGGAGGATTTGGGAGGGCTATGGCGGGTGGGGAACTTTTAAGGAGTGCCATTGCTGGTGGCAGTGGGAGAGAGAAGGGGGAGAGAGGAGGTGTTGGGGAAGGAGGACAGGGGGAAGGAGGAGGAGGTGGTGGGGGAGGAAGAAGGGAAGGTGAAGGGGAAGAAGGAGGGGAAGGAGGAGGGGACGGGGAAGGAGGTGGGGGCAGGGAAGCAAGTCGTGTGGAAAGAAGGGGTGAAGGTGGATGGAGGAAAAGGGAACTAGAAGGCAGATTAAGCCATGTGCTCTTAGGCTCTGGGGGCGTTGGTAGGCGTGACGCTGGGGGGGCAAGTGGAAGGGCGGAGGGGGGCACGGGAGGAGCAATGGAAAGGGAGAGTGCAGGGGAGAAGAGAGACGAAGGCAGGAGTCAGGTGGAGAAGGGTGCAGATGGGATTGTGTTTCAGGGGTGGGGTTCGGGGGATGTAGATGGGGAGAGGTGTAATGCGGTGGGAGGGGAGGGGGTTGCGGTGGTGGGGGGAAGGGATGAGAGAGATGGTGGGCCGTGGGAGGTGATGGTAGTGGAAGGGGGAGGCGGCGGAGGAGGAGGAGGAGAGCAGCAGACACACAGTGGTAGTGGGGAGGCAAGGGAGGAGAGAGAGGTATGCACGGGATTGGAGGCGAAAGGGAAAGAAGGATGGGGGAGGGCGGAGGCGGTAGAGGAGTGTATGGAGAAAGGAAGCCAACGGGAGGCAGTGGCAGCAGGTGGAGAGGCAAGAAGGGACGTGCGAGAGGTGGCATGCAATGGGGATGTTGCACGAGGGAGGGCAGATTCTGCTGATTCTGGCTTAGCAGATCGTTCTCACAAGGGTGATTTGAAAGACGGTGGGAGTAAGGAAGGAATGGAGGCAGGTGGCGGGGAGGAGGAGGAGGAGACTGGTTTTGGGGAAGCAGCGGCGAGAGATGCAGCGGAAGCAGACGCGCAGAGGGGAGAAGCAGGAAGGGAGGAGGGTGAGGGGGAAAGGGAAGGGAGCGGGAATGAGAGGGGAGATGGCAGGGGAGCGAGTGGGGGAGGGATTGGGGAGTCAAAAGAGGAGGTGCAAGGTGTAGGAAAGGTTCAAGCAATGCAAGAAGTGCAAGATTTACGGTCAGTGGCAGCAGCAACAACAACAGCAACAGCAGGGCTTGCAGAGGGTCTGTGCTCGCTACTTCCAGAGCAGAATGCGAAGGAGGGGGCAGTGGGGCGGGTGCAGTACAGGCGGAGGAAGGGCGGTTCTGGGTCCACACCACTCAAGAAGAGAGGCCCTGTGTCTCTTGCTGGTATTCTTGTGTGCGAATTGGATGCTGCGGGTGGTGATGGTGGTGCTGCTGCTGCTGGTGCTGGTGCTGGTGCTGGTGCTGGTGCTGGTGCTGGTGCTGGTGCTGGTGCTGGTGCTGGTGCTGGTGCTGGTGATGGTGATGGTGATGGTGGGTTGCGGATCGGTTCTGATGGCCTTTCACGCTTTGCTGCTTCGGAAACAGCAGCCACGACAGCAACAGGCTCGGCAGCAGTCACTGCAGCAGAAGGTCGTTCCCCCCCTGTTCCATCCCCCCCTCGCACGCTACTCGATCAACATGAGAGGGAATGCGTGGAGGTGACTGGCAGGGCGGGGGAAGGGGGTGATGGGGGTGTGGGAGCAGGGGAGGAGGGGGTGGTGGAGCAGCAGCAGCAGCAGCAGCAGCAGCAGCAGCGGAGACCAGGCTTGAGGATTCACGCTGAAAAGAGCCAACAGGATGGGAAGGAGGAAGAGGAGAAGACGAAGAGGGAGGAGACAGGGGATGGGTTAGAAGGGAGGGTTGTGGAGCGGAGAGAGGAGGGAAGGGAAGCAGAGGCGTGCATAGGGCCACTGCAGGAGGCGTGGGGGGAGAGGGCGGAAAGTGGTGGGTGGGAGGGCGGGGTGGGGGCAGTGGTGGAGAAGTCAGCAGTAGGGAGGGCAGCGGTGGGAGGGGCAGTGTTGCGAGGAGCTGATAGGCAGGAGGATGTGCAAGGAGCTGAAGGGCCGTCCAGCCCACGCAAGAGACTCAAACGCTCGGGCTCCTCTGTAAAGAAAGCCCCAATCGGTGCTTCTGATGCTGTTGCTGATGCTGCTGCTGACGGTGATGGGGAGGGAACAACAGCCACCCCAGCTGCCGGTGCTGCTGGGGTGACATGGAAGGGGGTGCGTGGCGAAGGAATGGGAATGAGAAGGAGTGCTGTGGAAGGAGTTGGTGCAAGAGAGCATTCTCAACTGCTGGCCAGCCGTGCTCATACAGAACGAGCTCTGGCCAATACAGGAGCCCTGCCTGCTAGTGCTCCTGCTGTTGCTGCTGATGATGTTCCTGCTGCTGCTGCTGGTGCTACTGCCGTTGTTGCTGCTGCTGGTGTGCGGACACAAGGCACCTCCGTGCATGCGTGTGTAGGGGGGGATGGCACGCGGCAGAAAGGGAGAGCCGCTGCTACTGGCGCTGCTGCGACTGCAAGCGACGATGCGCGTGCAGATGCACATGATTTAGCGCATGAGCATGGGAACGAGGATGACCATGCGTGCGAGCAGGAGCATGAGCATGGGGAGAAGCATGAGCATTTGACAGAGGAGCAGCGTGCAGTGGTGCAGGCATGGCGTGGCATGTGCGCGCATCCCCTTGCTGCCACCTTCTCTTGCCCGCCTCACTCGAAAGTAAGCACTCCCGCTCTTCGCTACTCCCTTGCTCCTTCCCTGAACAATCTCAACACGTATAAAAAACTAAGGATCCCTGTTGCAACCTCTCGTGCTCTATGGGTTGTTTTGAACTTTAAAAACTCACCTCCGGCTATCCAAAACCCCTCCGGGTTCTGCTCTCACCGCTCTCAACCACCCCGCACCCATCCCCACTTCCCCAGGAGCACCCAGACTACACATCCATAGTGCGGCAGCACATAGACCTGAGAATGATCGGCAGGCGGGCTTTAAGCGGCGAGTACCCCTCCCGCCATGCCTTCTTCCGGGACGTGGTGCAGCTGCTGGCGAATGCCTTTGTGGCCTTCCCCCATGACTCACACCACTTCACTGCTGCACTCTCATTCCGAGCCCACCTCTGCCAGGTGATTGGGGTTGCTGGGTGTGTAGGGGGGATGGTTGGGCGTGTGGGGGGAATAGATGGGTGTGTGAGGTCGGTTGGGTGTGTGTGTGGGGTAGACGGACTGGCTGTGTGGGAGGCTGGTTGGGTGTGGGGGGCTGGTTGGGTGTGGGGAGCTGGTTGGGTGCTGTGTGGTGCCGGGACCACATAGACATGCAGCAGATGCATATGCACACACTCTCACTCTCTCACTTCCCATCCTTTATTTTCCATTCCCACCAACCCTCCCTGTCCGTGAATCCAACAGGAGATGACAGCAGCGTTCCCCCAGGACTCGTGGCCTCTTCCCCTGTCAGACCGTGGAGCAGCGGGCATGCACGCGTCCTGTAGCCACAGCAGCCGCGAAAGCTTCCCCTCAGGGGCAAGGGCAGGCACAGGGAGGGTGGGGAGAGGGGTGGCGCGGGGGAGGGGGGGCGGGGGTGATGGGGAGGAGGGGTGGGAAGAGGGGGAGGAGGGAGAGGAGGGAGAGGAGGAGGGGGAGGGGGCAGGAGCAGGGGAGGTTGGGAAGGTTGTGGATGAAGAGGGAGGAGAGGGAGGAGAGGGAGGAGAGGGAGGAGAGGGAGGGGAAGGAGGGGAAGGAGGAGAGGGAGGGGATAAGGGTGTTGGGAGGAAGGTGAAGGAAGGTGAAGAGGGAGAGAGGAGAGGGAAGGAAGGCAGTGAGGAGGGAAGAGGGATGTGCAGTGGAGGGAAAACTTGGAGTGGGGCAGGAGAAGGCACAGGGAAGGCAGGAGCACAGGGGAGTGAAGGAAGAGAAACGAGTAGGAGTGGGGAACAAGGAGGGCCAAGGGAGGGGGAGGGAGAAGGGGAGAGGAGAAGGGAGAAGGGAGAGGGGGAGCGGGGGGGAGAATAGAGAGGGCTGTCGGGGGTCACTGTGAAGGTGAGGCAGTGGATGATAATGGTTGTGAAGGGGATGGAGATGCAGGACACAAGGTTGAAGGGAATGGTCGCCACACGGAGCAACTAAGAGGGGGAGAAGCGGCGGGAGCAAGCAGAGGCAGTGAGGGAGGGGGCGGGGAGGTGGAGGAGGAAGGGAGGGAGGGAGGGCTGTCTGGGTGTCGATCCGGGAGGAGCAAGGCGAGCAGCAGCGGGAGAAGCACAGGCGGGGCGTCAACAGGAGCCGGGTCTACAGCAGGCGAGACAGAGAGTGGTGCAGGGAGGGCAGGCAGAGGGGGGAGCGGGAGGGAGAGGGAGAGGAGCTCACAGAGCGAGGCAGAGGAGACAGCAGAGGAGGCAGCAAAGGAGACAGCAGAGGAGGCAGCAGAGGAGACAGCAGCAGGGGAGGGGGGAACCGGCACGCACAGCAGCCCTACTAGTCCCACCAGTGCTGGTGGGGATAGTGTGGGGGGCGTGGTGACCCGGCACAGGAGGCGCATGCGGTAGGATAAGGCAGGCAGCGGAGAGCAGGCAGATCCGGCCGAGAGAGAGGACGCAAGAGGGAAGGCAGCGCGGCGATGAGTGCTGTAGGGAGCGATTCTCAAAAGACGAGATGGATAGGGTTGAGACGGATGAGACGACTTCTGAGGCGCCTCAAAAGGCCGAGAGAGGACTCACGAGGGAAGGCAGCTGGGCGATGAGTGCTGTAGGGATGAGATGAGATGGATGGGGTTGCGAGGGGAAGGGAAGGCTGGGGAATTATCACTAGTGATGCCCACAAGGAGCAAGGAGAAGAAATGGGTGCTCTTCTCTTGTTGTTTGAAGGAGCAGAGGGAGAAGATTGGGTGGTGATGAGGCGGGGCGTTGGTGTTTCTTTGTGGTTAAGAGCCCGTGGTTGGGCGTGGTGTGTGTGTGCTGTGCATGTGTGTGGAAGGATTGCAGTTTGAGGAGGCATGGCGCCTGTGTACATGGCAGGATCTCATATGTAGTAGAGCCCGTCGCAACTGCAATGGCGATCCTGCAAGCCGCGGGGCACGGCAGGCAGAGCAGACCCTCTAATGTAACGTAACCCTAGACAAGGTGCTTGTGTAAGCTTTCAGAATACTAGCGTAAGAATGGTGCATTGAACGAAACCGTTAGGTACAAGTAGCTAACCCTAGTTGGGTTTGTACCCTGTATTGGTTACCCCACTACAGCCTACCCACATATATATAACACATTACAATTTAACACACCCCCATAGGCAAAGTGGGGGAGAGCAAAGGGTCACAAGACCAGTCCAGCAAAGCAAAACAAGCCCAGGGTGGATCACAACGTCACCACACTCCGAGCACAAGCAAAGGCCACAAGGCCAATTCACATGCAGTGCTAGATATAGAACAGGACAAGCAGCAAGATATATATAAAGTACAGTACAAAGAAAGTCAAGCAGTAAGTAAATGAGGAAACGTGGACACAAGGCCTAAAGAAGTACAGTGCCGCTGATGATCATTAGGCGGGAGCGCCTTGGTGAAGATATCAGCAGTGTTGGCCTTCGAGTCCACGTACACAAGCCGAAGCTGACCGCGCTGCTGAAGCTCTCGAGCAAGAAAGTAGCGAAGAGCAATGTGCTTCGTCCTGTGCTCCAGTCTGTGCTCCTGACACAAGGCAAGGGCCGCCTTGTTGTCACCGTACAGAACTGGAGGAGAACTAGGCCGCTCTCCCAAGTCAGTCAGCAGGTAGGTGAGCCAGCGTAACTCCTGTGCAGCCATGGCCGTGGCGTAGATCTCAGCCTCACAACTAGAGCCGAGAACAGAAGAAGAGCGGGTGGACCGCCACGAGACAGAACCAGAGCCAAGGCTGAAGGTGTAACCCTGTGACGACCGCTGCGTAGCCAGGTCGTCCACCCAAGAAGCGTCCGAGTGACCAGTGAGGACAACTCTGTCGCGTCCTCCAAGCACCAGCCCCATGCCTGATGTACTGCACAAGTAACGCAGCACCCTCTTAGCCGCCTCCCAGTGCTCTCGCCTGTGTCTCCCAGGCGCAACGTAACGAGCAAGGATGCTAAGAGGGTACGCGAGGTCAGGTCGCGTGCAAGTCATCAGGTACATGAGGCAGCCTACAAGCTCTGGGTACGGGCCACTCGGCTCTACGGACTCGTCCGAAGGTGGAGCTGAGAGCGAGTGGCTGGTAGCCAGAGGTGTGGCCAGTGGTGAGGAGAACTGGAAGCCGAAGCGCTGAAGGACCTGCTGCACCATGTGTGACTGAGTCAGGGTGATGGTGCGGCGTGCTCTGTCCCGGGTGATATGCAAGCCAAGGTAGCTACGCAGCTCACCCAGGTCAGTGCAGGTGTGTCTCTTCTGCAGCTCCGACTTCACACGAGCGAGTGCCTTAGTGTCAGCAGTAGCAAAAACCAAGTCGTCGACGTACACGAGGATGTAGAACGGCGGCAGCGACGTGTCTGTACGCAGGAACAGTGACGGGTCAGCAGTGGAAGGAGCAAACCCAAGGGCCGCAAGTGTAGTCCTCAGTGTGTCGTGCCACTCGCGCGGTGCCTGGCGGAGACCGTAGACTGGCCGCCGGAGGCTCCACTGGGTACCAGGAGGAAACGACCCAGTAAAGCCAGGTGGGCGGCGCAGCCAGATCTCCTCGTGCAGGCTGCCCTGCAAGAACGCTGTGCTGAAGTCAAGAGAGTGAAGCTCGTAGTCACGCTGAGCAGCAACGTGCAGCAGAACCCGAAGAGTGGTCATCTTCGGGGTGGGGGAGAAGGTCTGAAAGAAGTCAACCCCCTGACGCTGACTGAAGCCTCTAGCGACGTAACGAGCCTTGAAGACAGGTGGAGAACCTGGCGGCCGCTTCACCCTGAAAATCCACATGCCATCGACGATGTTCGCCCCAGGAGGGGGAACCTCGTCGACGTAGGTGCCTGTGGACTTCCAGGATGCCATCTCTGCGTCCATGGCTGTCTGCCACTGAGAGGAGTAGGGACCCGAGATCGCCTCTGCGTAAGAGCGCGGAGTGGGGATGTCTAGTGCATCCGGGTCTCCCTCAGGGGCAAGCAACCAGGCCACGAGATGAGGTACAGCAGCCGCAAGAGAGTCAAAGTCCTCCTGCCTGTCCTCAAGGACGTCCGTGCCAAGAGCACACTCACCCCCGACGGACGGAGGACAGACAGACTCAGACCCAGCAACAAGACTGGCGGCGTAGTCTAGACGACAGGCAGCACCAAAGTCGACAAGCTCAGCGACCAGGGCAGACGCAGCAGAAGACTCAAACGACGGGTCAGTGACAACAGTGGCGAGAAGACGCGTAACAGTAGGGTGGGCAGCACGAACACTGTCAGACTCAGGGTCGGGAACCTCAGGAAGAGAAGACGCAGGAGGAGACGGTAGGGGGACACGCTGTGGACCAGTGGAAGGACGAAGGGCCATAATATGCGTGCCAGGAACAGGAGGAGGACGCGGACGCGCGACACGACGACCAGTGGGACCAGTGCGCGCAGTGCTGCGCAGCAGATCGACGGGCGGCGCGGGGCACAGCGAGCGGTGCGCGGGGCTGCGAGGCAGCGCGACGGGCAGCGCGGGGCAGAGCGGGCGGCGCGACGGGCAAAGCAGGGGAGGGGGAGGCGCGCGGGGCTCTGGGCTGACAGGACGCCGGTCGGCAGGGCGCACGAGGGCGCTACAAGGGCGCTACGAGGGCGCTAGGGCGCAACGAGGGCGCTACGAGGGTAGGGCGCGGGGGTAACGCGGTAACCGCAGCGTGCGGTGGTGGGCCCTAAAAAAAAAAACGATCGGATGGTCCTAGGGACCACCTGCTCTGAATACCATCTCAGAATACTAGCGTAAGAATGGTGCATTGAAAGAAACAGTTGGGTACAAGTAGCTAACCCTAGTTGGGTTTGTACCCTGTATTGGCTACCCCACTACAGCCTACCCACATATATATAACACATTACAACTTAACATAAGCAACACCAGGAGAGCCAACCTGCGCTGAGCAGAGCTCAGACTAGGCTGGTACTAGAACTTCGGAGTGTGTGTCAAGTCAAGGTCAGTGCACACTGTGTTGCGCAGTGGTTACATACACTTGACCTCATTAGTTCTGTGTGTGGAGTGGAGTGGAGAGAGGAGAACAGTAGCTCCACTCAACACTGGCACCACCACACACTGCTTGACGGACGCACGTAGATGTACGGTAGCATGTGCTACAGGGGGCATCAGGGCTCAGGTTATCAGTGTAATTTACCCTTCTACACTGAGAGCGTATTCCTATCCTCGTATCAAGACAACCTCATATCAAGAATGCACTTTTTGCCTGGTAAAACTAGCGAGAGGTTTTGGGTTTAGGGGAATTTTCAGTGGGAGGTTGATATGAGGTATTCTTGATATGAGGATAGGAATACGCCCTGACTACAAGGGTAAAATTTTGGGTCTACACTGATGTGCTGGGGTAATTTTTTGATGAGTTAGTGTTACACTGATCAGCAAGTGTATCGATGTAGGCCACACTGATGCCTCGGGGTAAATTTTCCCTTAGCGAAAATTACACTGAAGAGCGTACACGGACCCCCACACCCACCCCCCCTTCCCCCTCCCCCCCCTTCCCCACAAACAATCGGTCGAGGGGGAGGGGAGCCAATTTCGTAAGTCCTCCCCTTCCCCCCCCCCCTCATAAACAAACAGTCGAGGTGGGAGGGGACCTGGGAGGCAGATAACTTTCTCGACACCTGTCATACACACCTAATTTACACATGATGTGTCGGTGCTTGGAAAACAACCACACTGATGATGCAGGGTAAAATTTTCAAAACCTGATGTTACACTGCTCTATCAGTGTAATGGAAAAGTACACACTGCCCATAAGGGTTTTTGAAAAATTATAAATTTTAAACACATTGATGTTTTCAAAACTGTGTATTGTGAAAGCGAAGCTGCCTGTACCGAATATTTGGCAGCGTCGAAGCGCGCTAAACGCCCTCCTCCAACTACAAAAACCGTGGGTTGGAGTTCATTCCCTCCACCCACGTTTCTCGTTTTTCAACGGCTCAATCAACATTTCCGTTCGAGTAGTTCTTTTCCCCGTCCAAGCTGGCTAGAACTCGCACCCTCCCCAGAGGCGAGTCACCCTCAACACTTCTGCAAGACATTTTCAACCAGCACCGCTCTACAATGGCGTCTACGCCGGCACTTAACCGCGGCAATTCGTCTGCGCCGAGTTCCGACACCGACCGTAACGCCCGAGAAATGACGGGTGATCGCCGTAACAAGCGCCGGGCAGAGGAAGGATCGCCCGCCCCAACCGCCGTGGACGTGCTGTTGGGCGGGCTCGAGGTCAACAAAAACTCGAGCCCGCCCCAGCAGCAGCACCCCTCGGCCCCTGTGGCGCCTGTGGCGCCTGTGGCGCCTGAGGCGCGTATGGCGCAAGTGGCGACGGCGGCACCTGCAGCACCTGTGGCGCCACACACGCCTGACGCGGAGCACACGCCGGCGCCTGTGGCTGGACCGTCGCGACAGCGCCAGAGGCGCCGAACAGCGACTTCTTCTGACGCGACGACCCCGGCGTTGACCAACGCGTTGACTCCGGACCAGGTCGCCGCGCTTCTGTCCCTGTTACAGCAACACCCGGCCAGCGTTACAGCTACGGAAATTGCACAACCCGCGGCCTCTGCATCTGCTAAAAAGGAAAACGCAAAAAGAGAAAAAGGAGCGCGAGGAACAACGGCGAACCGGCACGACAAGGAAGCACCGGCCAGCATCCCACCTGCGCCAGTGGCCGACAACGACACCGACGGCTCCGACGACGATGATGGTGAGGCTCCGGTCCGTACCAAAAAATTTAATTCCATGGAGCATCTTCCCCCCCTCCCCTCTACTACTAACACCACTTGGTCGGCGGCGACGTTCAACAACGCGCACGTGCGGGCGAAAGCAGAAATTCTGGAGGACATGCGGGCCTACCTGAAACACGCAGAATACAAGCTGCAGCACGGCGACTTGGCGGGCGGACTCGAATTGGTCGTCGCCGCCCTCGACGACATTTCCGCGCGCTTCGAAATGTTTCAAGTCGAAGACGCCTCCGACGACCGCGTTGCCAAGCGCTACAAAATGTACCTGCAGAAAAGCCTTCTCACTTCACGCCCGTTCAAGCAAGCCGTCGCGGACGTGGCTGCCATGGACCGAGCGGCGGGCGCTCACGCTCGCTCCCACCGCGGTGGAACCCATGGCGCCATGGCGTTCGCCCCAAAACGGGGCCCTCAAACCTCGGGCAATTTCCCAGGCTTTCGTGGTTCGTGTTTCCGCTGCGGCCAGCCAGGCCACGTTGCCAATGCCTGCCCTCGGAATGGGCACGGGGGCCAAGGACCCGCACCGGTTGTGTAGGGTTCGGGCTATGGCGAAGGGCGCCACTCGGCGCGATGCACGGTGCACTCTTGAGTGCTTAGACCGTGGGCAGCCTAGTAGGGCTTGCGGTGGCCAGCCCTAGGATAGGGTGGTAGAATTTGGCCATAGGCCTAGCTTTGGGGAAGAGGAAGAATGCCTCTCGGTCCCCTAGGATAGGGTAATAAAGTATGGCCGTAGGCCTAGCCTTGGGGAAAAGGAAGAATGCCTCTCGGTCCCCCGGATGCCCCAATTGATGGGATGAGAAGCGTGCTAGTAGGCATGACAATGCATGACCATGCGAGATATGGATTTTATTAAAGGCCCCCCTCTGGTTGCGAAGGATCACAAAAAAAAAAAAAGGGAGAACGCGAGGAGGAGAAGGGGGAGGGGGAAAACGGGCACATTCCTCCCTCAAACCGCCACCATGCATGGCAGGGATGGGCAGCCCTAGTTCAATCTTTGGAAGACCAAAAAGGGAGAGAAGGAGCAAGAAGTACAAAAAAAAAAAAAAAAAAAAAAAAAAAAAAAAAAAAAAAAAAGGGAGAGAAAGGGGGGCATAGCAATGTCCCTAGCCCAAGCGAGGGCTCGCGCGGAAAGACACGAGCCCATGGCAAGCGAAGCATGCAAATGCTCAAACAATGATGGAAACATGCACAAAAAGAGAGGGAGAGAGAGAGAGAGAGTGTGTGTGTGTGTGAGAGAGAGAGAAAGAGAGAGAGAGAGAGAGAGAGAGAGAGAGAGAGAGAGAGAGAGAGAGAGAGAGAGAGAGAGAGAGAGAGAGAGAGAGAGAGAGAGAGAGAGAGTGAAGCATGATCGCGGTCCCAAGCATCAATCCTAGAGCAAGGTTAAAAAAAAAAAAAAAAAAAATTAGAGCATGGGAAAGAGTTTGCCAAGGTGCGATCGGACGCCCAATATGGAATGATGACAAACCGTTCGTATGGTTCTCACTGCTGACGGTTCATCTTTCGCGTATGCATGTATATGTCACACGCATTCACTAATTAAGGCGTGTAACTTGATTGGTCCCGTTCATTTCCTTGCCGTACAAACAGAAGCACAACAATACGAGGTGCCTCGTGACGAAGACCCGTACGAATTCGCCGTCACGGACAAAACCGTCACACGGATGTGCGGTCGGCTTCGCTCGACCTTTGCGTGGTGGAGCTCATGGTGCCCTTGCAGCCTTGTTCTATCCATAATCGCCAACGGTTACTGGCTTCCATGGAGCCACGGCCCACCACCGGCCTTCCGGGAGCGGAACCACGCCGGTGCATACGCGCATGCTACGTTCACACGTACTGCCATCCAAGAACTCACAGAGACCGGGGCTGCAGTCGAGACAGCCGCAAGCGAGCTTACGTGCATAAGCCCACTTAACGTGGTCGAGCAGAGAGAAAAATGTAGGCTCATCCTTGACCTGAGAAAAGTCAACGCAAACCTCATCGTTCCAAAATTCAAGTACGAAGGACTCAGCCGCGTGGCAGACGTCGCACGAGCTGTGGATTGGATGTTTTCTATCGATCTCAAATCCGGGTACCATCACATCGACATCCATCCCTCGTGCTGGAAGTTTCTCGGTTTCGGATTCGATGGGCGCACTTACTCCTTTCGTTCATTGCCGTTCGGTCTTGCGACAGCCCCATTCGTCTTCACGCAACTCATCAAGCAGCTAGCCCGTCGCTGGCGAGAGCAAGGCATTCGAGTAGTACCATACGTGGATGACATCTTATTCCTTTGCCAGTCAAAAGCCCACGCGCAGGCCACGTGCCACCGTGTGATACTGGACCTTAAAGCAGCGGGTTTGGTGATAAATGCGAAGAAATCACAACTGTCACCATCGCAACACCTTCGATTCTTGGGTGTGGAGCTCGACACGGTCACCGGCCGATTTACCATCGGTCCCGAACGACGAGCCTCACTTCATGCAACCATTCGGAACCTGTTGAGCGCAAGCAAGGCCTGTCGACCCGTCTCAGTTCGCCAAGTGGCCAGAAACACAGGCATGCTCGCGTCAATGGGCGTCGCGCTGGGTGCAACAGCTCGTGCCTTCAGCCACGCCATGCTACAAGTGATCAATGACGCACAGTTGCAATGAGAACGATGCCAAATTATAAGGACAAGAAAGCAAGCTTTCTCAATAGCTACATTGCCAATCGTGAGTAGGCCAAAACCAAACCTGAGCCCTGGGGGGCATGCTGACATGACTGCAGTGCTCTCTTGCTAGATTGTGAATCAGTGAATCTGTGGACGTTGAGTGAGTAGTACCGTACGCTGGTTTCCTGTGAGTGAAACGCACTTGCAATTCTTGGGGGTTTGGTAGCTTTCCCAGAAGCTGCAGTGGGAATTATGTAATGTAGTAGAACTTGTCACAGATCATAGCGGTAAAATTTTTAACACTAGATCAAACTGTATGCTTCTGTAACTGAATTCAACTTCTTTCAAAGCTCTGTCCCGCACAGTCCATGCTACTCGGGAGAAAAATTGGGCTACTACAGTACCGTACTACTGTAAATCAAGGCAACTCAGCGGCGCACTGACACAACTGCTGGATGACCACCACCACCTCCTTTACATCCCTCACTCACTCCACCTGTTGCCCGCTGCTGCACTTCCCACACCACACCACACCACAACGCACGAGGCTAGCTGGCTGACTGGCTGCAGTGCCGGTACCGGCTTGGCTGGATGGAAGCAGAGCTGTGCTGAGGTGAGGACCAGTACTGGTAACTGCAGAGCAGTGTCAAGAGTTTTTCCAACCTGTGTAGAAGAACAGGTAAGCCCCACCCACCCCAGCGCCGGGAGGGGTCAGCTGTACTACCACTACACACTCATTCACAAGGGGTCTAGCCAGCCATGCGAGGTGCATGCTTGTGTGGAATGATGCCTGATGGATGCCCATTGCCCTGTGCTTTCACACAAACACTACACACTGCTACCATGCATGCTCCATGTAAAGGAAACGGCACAGCAGCAACATCCACTCCACACGCCAGCTTCGTCGGCGCAACCCTTCTCACCCCACCCCACTCCTCCCCACTCCCCCCATCGCCTCCCTCCCCTACCACCCTCGAGCAGCAACAACTCGCACACCTCCCTCTCACAATCCAACCACAAAACCCAACTCCCTTCAACTCCCAAACGCACCTCACTCAACCCCTCTACACCTCACCACCTTGGCCTACAGCAACACCCACCCATGCACCTCCCTCTCATGGCACTGCATCACAAGCACCACCCTAGGCACCAGAATCGCCACTCACGCCTCCGCCACCACCGATACGAATGCCATTCTCTAGTCGATTACACCAGAATCGCCTCAGCTTGCGGTCTTGGGAGGCAGAAACACCCGCACCTCCCTCTCATGATACTGGCTTACAGGCACCAGCTTAGGCACCAGAATCTCCACGCCCCCACCGCTGTCCGAGAAGAAAGCCTTGACATCTGCGCTGTCGGGGATCCTGGAGGGCAGCACTATCTCGCGCACGAACTCTCCCGGGGGGCAGTGCTCTGGGTGCGCGTCGGTGAGATGGAAGGCGCGGTTCCAGCGGATCAGGGTGGGCTGGCGCATGGAGGAGGCACATTGCACCTGAAGGAGGGGGAAATGGGGGAGGGAAGGGGCAGGGAGCCTTTGAGTCGACTGGAAAGACGCTCTGGGTGCGGGTCGGTGAGGTGAAAGGCACGATCCCAGCGGACCACCAGCGAATGAGGGACGGCTGTCGCATGGATGAGGCGCATTGCACCTGAATAGGGGGGAATGGGGGAGGGAAGGAGCGAGGGAGGGGAGTGGGATGGGGAGGGAAAGGGAAAGGGGGGGATGTTTGAGGGAGGGCAGGGTTATGGGGGGAAGGGGTTCCGTGTGAGAGGGGCTAAGGGAACAGCTGTTTTGCGTGAGAGAGTGCTGTTGCATGGACGAGAGATAATGGATTGGCAGGGAAGAGGGGAACGAATGGGGGAGAGGGGGGAGGAGGGTGTGGAATTGGACACAAGGGGTTTGAGCAATCAAGATCCTGGTGGCAGGGCAAGCACTTTCATGCTTGAGGACCTTTAATTGCAGCATGAACCAGAAGCACCATCCCTTCACAACTCCCTGCACACCTGCTCCACACACGCCCTCTTTCCCTACCCACTACCACCCTCCCCTCTCTCCCTCCTCGCTCGCCCCTTCCCCCTTTCCCTATCGCCTTTCCTCCCCTTCCCCGCCCCACCCACCCACCTTGACAATGCCATGCGAGAGGGAGTTGCGCCACGTCACCCGGAGCTTGGACAGGTCAGCAAAGGGCAGGCTGACGAGGATAAGGAATGACGTGGCATCCTCGTACAGTGTCTTGGCACATGTCACAGGGCCGGACACCTGAGTGGCGAAGTGAGGGAGAGGGATGGAGGCGGGAAGGAGCGAGGGGCCTTTTGAGTTAAGTCAGAAGTGATCCTCGTGCAGTGTTTTGGCACACGTTGCAGTGAACCTGAGGCACGAAGGGGGGAGAGGGGGGGGGGAGTGGGAGGGAGGGAGTGTGTGGGATGGACCTTTTGAGTTGAGTCAGAAGTCATCCCCATTAAGTGTCTCGGCACCCGTCACAGGGCCGACACCTGAGGCACGATAGGGGGAGGGGGAGGAGAGGGCCACAGGGGATAATTTGGATGAGGAGGGCAAGGGAAATCACAAGAATGAGGAAAAAAGGGAGAGAAAGGAGAGGAGGGCTAGGAGTGGGGTGAGAGAAGCAGGGTACAAGAGAGGGCGGGTGTAAGCTTGGCCAGAGGGCGGGGGCCCAAGAGACCGCCTTTGCTCCAGTGAGGTAGCAACTGGGGAAAGCCGCACCTGAGAGATCTTGCACCTGGGGGAGACCACACCTGGGGGAGGTCGCACTTGGTGGAGGTCACACCTGGGGGGAGGTCGCACCTGGGGGAGGTCGCACCTGAGAAAGGTCACACCTGGGGGTGGGGAGGTCGCACCTGGGTGAGCACGCCGTAGCACTCCGAGAGCCAGTAGGGCGGCTGCACAATCTGCTCCTCCGACTGCTCCTGGGGTGACCCCTCCTTTGATACCTCCACCTCCATCTCCTCCCTGCCCTTTGCTCCGCCTCCTCCCTGCGCCAACCCCAACAGGTCCCCAAACCCCTTTGCATCCCCTTGCACCTGCACCCTTGCCCCTCCTCTTCCTCCTCCTCCTCCTTCCCATCCCCCTCCTTCCCCTCTACCTGCTCCTCCTCCTCCTTCCCCTCTACCTCCTCCTCCTCCTCCTCCTACTCCTCCTCCTCCTCCTCCTCTTCCTCCTCTTCCTCCCTCCTTTTCACCTCTCCCTCCTCCACTGCTCCCACTACCATCACGCGTTGCCCTAATCTCCCCATCCATCCCCCCCCGACTCCTCTTACTTGACCGCCCTCCAAGTCCCCCCTCTTCCTCCTCCACCCTCACTCTCCCTCCTCCTCCCCTCCACTCCTCCCTCCCCTCACCCACGGAATCCGCAAGGCTCAGCGTGGTCATTGGAGGGCCGTCAGAAAACACACCAGCTCCCCCGCCCCTACACGCCGCTCCGTCCCCTTCCCTCCCTCGCCTCCCCCTCTCATCCAACCGCGCTTCACCCCTTTCCACTCCTCGCAACAGCTCTGCCTCCCTGCCGTCTCCGCCCCAGCCCCCTCCTCGTGCCTCTCCTGGTCCCTGAGACGCCCAGAGTGGTGGTCCTGAAACAGGGACAGGTAGGCTTTTGGAGGGGTAAGTTGGGGAAGCGTTGGGGCGAGGTGGATGCGACAATGGGGACTGCTGCTGCTGCTGCTGCTGCTGCTGCTGCTGCTGCTGCTGCTGCTGCTGCTGTTGCCGCTGTTGTTGTTGCTGACCTTGCTGCGTCTGTTGCTCTTGCTGCCGCTGCTGTTGCTTCTGCTGCTGCAGCTGCTGCTGCTGCTCCTGCCACCGTTTCCCTAGTAAAGCCGTGCCTGCAGACGTCTTGACCTCAGACAGCGACTGGTGCGACTGCGAGTCCTCTTGCTCCGGTGCCGAAACAGCAGAGGTAGTAGCAGCAGCGCCAGAGGCAGCAGCAGTGCCGGCAGCCCCAGAAGAGGCAGCAGCGGTGGCAGTGGTGGTGTCTTGGGAGAGGGAGGAGATGCGCCAGTCACTGAACTCGTCCGCTTCGTTGGTCAACACAAAGCCCCACTCGCGGCCTGTGGGGAGAGTAGGGGGGAGATTAAGGGAAGAGGTGAGGATAGTGATGCAAGGTAGAGGAAAGAGAGGAGGGAAGAGGGAGGAGGGAGGAAGGAGCAGGGAGGAGGGAGGAGGGAGGAGGGAGGAGGGAGGAGGGAGGAGGGAGGAGGGAGGAGGGAGGGGGGAGGAGGAGGAGGAGGAGGAGGGAGGAGGGAGGAGGGAGGAGGAAGGAGGGAGGAGGGAGGAGGGAGGAGGGAGGAGGGAGGAGGGAGGAGGGAGGAGGGAGGAGGAAGGAGGGAGGAAGGATCCTTGGCACATCGAGGGAAGTTCAGAAGCTAGAAAAAAAAAGGTTTCGTGGGGAGTTAGAACCACGCAACCGGAAAAGCTCGAGAACCACACAACCAACAACCGGAAAGGCTTGAGAACCAAGAGGGAGCTGCAGAGATGCCCCCTTCCGATCCTGTGAGCAAGCGCGCACCTGTGAGGTCGATCCAGCGCTGGCGCTCGTGCGGGGGCACGCAGGAGAGGTCGGGAGTGCGCAGGAACTGCACGCCGTGAATGCACTGCGGGTTGGACAGCCCCTTGTACCGCTTGCGCTGCATGCGGTGCGACCGCACAAAGCCCTTCTCCGCGCTGAACGGGAACTGCGGCTCTCCAAACCTGGCGGGAGGGGGGAAGAGAGGGGGGAGGAGGGGGGGAATGGGATGGGTGCAGGGAAGGAAAGGTGGGGGGAGAGGAAAGGGTGAATATGGGAGGCAAGAATCAGCACTACACTGAAGGGAAACTGAGTGCTCCGTGAGATACATTTTTGTTTTTATACCACACAGGGACACCTAAGAATCCGCATCCATGCTCCACCTGGAGTGTACATCCATGTAAGAAGCGGCTAAACCAAAACCTCACACACTGCATCACGCCATCCCCCACTCATGACCCTCCTGAAGTGGCCATTCATGTAGGAGCGCAGCTGCATCTTGCCCAGGGCGTTGCGCGGGCAGAACCAGACCCTCACACACTGTCCGCCGCACATTGCCCCACACGGTTTCACATTGTCCCACACCCACACCCACCGGGAGTGGCCGTTCATGTAGGAGCGCAGCTGCATCTTGCCGAGCGCGTTGTGCGGGCGCACGCGGAAGGCCCACATGTAGCAGTTCTCCATGTCGTGCTGCACCATGAACTCCTCCAGCCGCAGGTCCGCCTTCTCCACCGCCCCTACCCACTCCCGCCCCGCCAGCCGCGCCTGTTGCAGGGCGGGAAGTGGCGGGGGGGCGGGGGAGAGGGGGGGGGGGGGGGTGGAAGAGGGGAGAGGGGAGAGGGGAAGGAAGAGAGACAGAAGGGAGAAGCAGAGGCGGGGGCAAGGAGGGGAAAAAGGAGGAAAGGAAAAGGAGAGGTTAAGGGGGGAATAGGCGGGCAGGTTAAGTCAGTCAGATCGGGACCTGCTGCCCTGCTGCTTCTCTCATCCCTCCCCATTGCTGCTGCTCCCTCTAACGACCCATCAAGGGTGATGGTAAACTCTCCAACCAACCCACCCAACCTGGCGGAAAACCCGTGTCCTTTGCCTGCGTGCCCGTGTCCTGTCGGCCTTGTCATTGAGTGCGGGGCGGTAGTTGTGCGCAAAGTGAAGTAGAAAAAAAAAAAAAAAAAAAAAAAAAAAAAACTCCCCAGAATGGAGGCTTCGAGTCCAACCAAGCCCCCTCTCACGAGTACCCCAACCCGCCCACCTTGGCTTTATCATTGAGCGCGGGGCGGTAGTAGTGCGTGAAGAAGAAGAAGGCGCCCCAGATGAGGTCGTCGCGGCGCACAAAGCGGCGCGCCTTGGAGCTCAGGCTCGGCCCCCCCGGCACCACCGCGAGCGGCGAGGGCGCGGAGAGGGCCGCGGAGTGGGGCGGGGGGAGGGGCTGCGGGGAGGACTCGTGCTGCTGCTGCTCCTGCTGCTGCTGCTGGTGTTGCTGGTGTTGCTGGTGGTGCTGGTGGTGTTGGTGGTGTTGGTGGTGGTGCTGATGGTGGTGGTGTTGGTGTGTTGTAAGGGCAGTGGAGGGAGAGGTGTAGATGGGTACTGAGGGGTGCATTTGCGAGGTGGAGGGGTAGTGGATCGGGGTGATGTCGGTGCTGTGATGGCGGAAAGCAGGGAGAAAATGGGGAGGGGGAAGGGTGAGAGGGGAGTGGTAAGAGTTAGGAAAGTTCAGGAACGGAGAATGGAAAGAAGAAAACGCGAAGGGGAAGAAAAGGGGAGAGAATGGGGGAGAGAGGGGAACGCGAAATGTCAAACGAGAGAATGAGATAAAACGGAGAGGCGAGAGAATGAGTGACGGATTGCCAGGAAGAAAGACCCAAGCGAGAGACACTAAAGGAAGAATCCACCTGCGCACATCCACCTTCCTGAGCCGCGCCAGACCCACCTGCCAGACCCACCTGTTCAGTGCATGTCCACCCTCGTTACTGCTCAACCCCATTACAGTCACCACACCACCGCCTCCCTCCCCGCCTCCTCCTCTTTCTTCGTACTGCTGGTGGTGATGTTGTTGGTGCACGTAGTGCGACGGCTGATGCTGAGGCTGCGAATGCTGCTGCTGCTGCTGCTGCGAATGGTAGTGCTGCTGCGGAGGTTGTGGGGCCCAGGGGAGCTTGGAGAACGGAAAGGCGGATGGGCGCGCAGCCTCGCTGCTCGCACCACCTGCCGCGCCTCCATCCGCAGTACCACCAGCAGCACCGTGAGTAGCAGCGTAGGAACGGGGAGAACCAACAGTGGCATCATGAGCTGCCGCATGGGAGCCGCTACCAGCACCACCAGCAGCAGCGGCAGCAGCGGCAGAGGCAGAGGCAGAGGCAGAGGGCAAGCGGAGCAGGGAGCGCGAGGGGGAGGAGGTGAGGCCTAGCGACATGTCGAGCATACTGGGGACGGCGGCAGGCGCAGACGCACAGGCAGAGGCAGCGGCAGAGGCAGGACCCGGGGGGGCGGGAGGCGCGAAGGGCGATTCAGAAGCACAGTTGCCCGCACTGGCAGCGTGAGCAGCGTGGGCAGCGGAAGCAGGTCTGGTGGCGGGGCCCGTGGCGACAGCACCGTCAGCAGCAGCAGCAGCAGTCCCGGCATTATGCTGCTGGTGGGGGAATAGCCTAGCGTCCTTGTCACCAGCAGCAGCAGCAGAAGCAGCAGCGCCACCAGCACCAGCACCGCCGCTGCCACCGCTCCTATCGAGATCACTGCAGTTCCTCCCCTCTTGCCTTAAGCACGCAAAACCCCTCTCCACACTTACACCGCTTCCGCCCCCCTTACCTCCCCACTCTTCCCCTCCGCCCTTTGCCCCCCCATCCCCACCCATGCCCTCATCTCTTCCCCCATTCTCGACCCCATACCCCATTCGTTCCCCTTCCCTTCCGCCTCTTCCCCGCTCCTGCCCGTCAGGCGGAGAGGAGGCGCGCGCGGAGGGGCGCATGGGGAAGAAGAAGGGCAGCGGACGGCCGGCGGGCGCGGAGTCGGGGTCCGCGAGGTCCGGGAGTGCAGAGGGTTGCGCGTCGTCGGGAAAGCGGGACGCGTCGTGGCGAGAGCGCGCGATCGGGCTGCGATTCTTGTGCGACGGCTGCGACGACGGCTGGTGCGACGACTGGTTGCGCTGCGGCGAATGGTGACTGTCGCGGCCGTATTCGCCGCCGCCGGTCGCATAACCGCGCTGCGACGGCTCCGCCAAAGGCTGCGAACGAGACACGAGGAGCGGAACACGGGGAGCAAGACACGAGAGAGGATCGCGGGCGGAGACGGTCCGAGACGACTACCATCGGCGCGAGACGACGTGGCGACGTGCGCGTTCGCCGCTAAACGCGGAAACGGATCACTTCACTCGGAAACAAATAAATAAATAATAAACTGTTGAAGAGACTAGGGATCCGAATGCTCACTCAGAAAAAGCTTAATCTGGGAGTAGGCTGAGGTTGACTCTAACAGGGCAATTCCGAAATAGAGAAAAGAGGCTGCTGGGTTGAAGGGAACGACACGAGGATGCAGTGAAGGCATGGCACTGAAGAGGAGTAGCTTGCTCCGCTGCCGGCCGGAAGCAGAGTATTCTCTGTTACCTGTTGAAGGGGTCTCGAGCCGTTGGCGGAAGATGGTTGCTGCTGCGCGTTGGTTCTCGGGGAATACGGCGCATGATGCGGTGACGAACAGTTAACGGCCACGTCCCCTTGACCGTTGCGAGGCAAACGCGCCGCGACATGCTCCTGCTGCTGCTGCTGCTGCTGCTGCTGATGCTGCTGCTGCGATAAAGACGGGCCGTTATCTCCCAAACTTAGAGGCGGCGCGGATGTTACCAAGGAGACACTTTCGCTAACGCTCGAGCCGCGTCCATCCCGTTCCATAAAGAACGGTAGAAGCAGAAACGGCGGCGTCACCTGACGCTGCAACTGAGCGTGCTTTGATATCGCCGTCGCTGCGAAGTAATGAAAACAATACTCCGTTACTCCTGCTAGAGCTCCCGCTGCCGTCGTGCGAGTGGATCTCAGTACGACTCAGGTGCCACGAGTTGAGAACAAAAATCAGTAGCAGTCGAAAATCAAAATCAGTAGCGACGAGATCAGTATACGTGACAATAGTTCGGCTTGGCAGCTTCTTGTGTTGTATAAGAGCGGTGGGGGGAAACGAGCTGGGGGGAAGGAAAGGGAGAGAAGAGGGTGACGCGTGGAGAGAAGAGGTCAGCAGCAGCTCCACAGGTTGGGGTGGGGTGACGCTCCACGGATTGGGTTTGGGCTCGGTCGGATTTGGGCTGGGTGGTCCTGGAGAAGCGAAATGACGAACTCCCGAACAAGTTCCGCAAACCTCCCCCTTCCCGACCTCCCCTTCGCCCCTGGCCCCTCCCCATGCCCTTTCCCCGCGCAGCCGGAAACGAAACGGCATGGAGCGAAACGATTACCCGATCACGATTCATGACGAAGCGGAACATGACGGGGAAGAGCTGGGAAGTAGGGAGGGGGGGACCTGCGTCGGTGGGTGGAGCCTGCCTCCCCCCTTGCTGAAGCCGAAAATGGCTGAGTAGAACGCGGAACCATGTGATGCGAGATTTGTGTTGGGGGATGGCTCGGCTTCTTATTGGTCGGGACTTGGAACCTGAGCCGCTGAGGGGAACTGCTCAATGCATGCAACCCCAACGCTGGCTTATTTATCTGGCCTTCCTGAGCCATGCTGGACGAGAAGGCGAGATGATCCGTTCCTTTACACACGATGTCCGTTTGACTAACCCAAGGTTGCCTTGTGAAGGGGGCGCTTAAGTGATTCATGCATTTCGTGGAGGTTTCGTCAATTCGCGCCGGGCAAAAAGGGCTTATAGCAAAATTTTGTAACTCACCGTTGACTGTTTGACTTCGGTCTCTTCTGTTTCTGTGGTTCGTATTGGTTGACGTGCTTGTAACGTGGGTGCAACTGCCCGGGAAAAAACCTTCGTGTGCAAGGTTTCTGGAACGTGCGAGGCAATTTCGCGTGCAGGGGTTGGGCATCTTGTGTACCCCTGTCTGTCTTGCAAAATCTGCAGATCTGGCAGGTGGGGAGGGGAGGTTGTGTCTGCATCTTGGGGATGAGAGAACCGATGTTTTAATCCCCGCAAAAAATCAACGGAAACGGTGGGGATTTTTTGGAAGCAACTTGTGGGACTCTTACTGTAAATACTGTAGGCCATCTTTCGGGTGAAGTTGTCTCTCAAATACCAAGTTGGAGGGCTATATGAAAGGCAGGCGGGCTGCCCGATAACGGTTTTGCCCCATGATTCACTTCCTGAAGAACGGTGGCTTGTGATAAGGTTTCGAAACCCTGGCAACGCCAGACCAGAAAAATGAAAACCCAACCCCACTGTGATATAAGGGCGGTGCATTGAGGGAAGGCGGTTCTCAAAAGGTGGGTGAAACTGTTTCAACACCTAAACTGCGATAGTGTCTTTCCATGAACATGAACTCTCGAATTTCTCGAAGCACAATCACATAGAAAGCACGCATTTTAGGGAGATTAAAAGAAATATAATGTAATTATTTGCCGAATATCTATACACTTGACGATCCCCCCAGGTGTGATCATTGTCCAATATCATTGTACCGTAAATAAATGCATTAGAAAACTGTACCATGTAAGATTAATGCCTGACAACTTCCTTATGGAATTTACGTTTGTTTCTTTTTTCAAACAGAATGAGACTCATATCTGTCAAACAATATCATTTTAATAACGTAAAATCTCTTCAATAATTATTACAATCATTCAATCTACATATAATACCATATTATATTATGGGTGTATAATGATACAATATGTTATTATTGGTAGCTTTAAACTATAATAATGATGTGTGGAATGAGGTTGCTTCTTATGTACTATAATTGATTTCTTGTTTCAAGAATTTGGCACGTTCCAGATATCAGTAGCATAGCGGATGCCTCCAACAATGCTCCTGGTTTAGGAAACTGCATATTTCTTTATCGAGAAAACGCTGTACAGACAAGGTCGTCGGCATTCAGCATCAGCCTCAACCCGCCCCCAGGTATAACCCCAAGTCTCGAACTTCGTCGATTGGGAACCAAATGCTCGACAAGCTGACATTCCACCCTCAGCACATAACAACATGAGGGTAACTGTCTGTTTCAACAAGACTCGGGCGATTTATCTCCAGTTATTTTAGTAGATTGGTCCTTGCCTTTTTCAATGCCAAACTACCAGCATCGAGGTTTCACGCACCGTTTTCGACTAAGAGGACGTCGATGTTTTCCATACCAGCCCCTGTCCTCCTTGTGGCAACGGATTCAAAAGCTGAAAAGGGTCAGCCCTGTAGTCGAAAGGGGACTTCTAACCAACTCCCAGCCCAGAACCGCATGCACCTGAAATTATTGACGCGTGCAGCACAGTACACCAGGAAAACACGAACAAACAAACATTTGAAATTTCTCGCTATTAGCGGATCTGGCCTGCAGTACAAACAAACACAATCAGCGGGAGTTTTTAAACAAGAGATAATGATTCCACTATTGGCTTGCCCTCAATGTGCCCTCGTCTGGGTCTCTGCGGCAGGTCCAACTTCACCTTATGGTGAAAAATCACTGCGGCAATGCACAGGAAAAATTTGGGTGTTAATTCATTATTCTTCAGATTGTCAAGATATAGATCCAAGGCTGATTTTATCAGGGTACCCTTATTTCAGGGTGATTTCAGACTAGTCAGTTGGTGGTCCCTGCAATTTCAGAATTTCCTACTTGTGAACACTGATCCATTCAGAATAAAGGTTTAGCGGACCCTGAAAAGTTGTATCCAAGCTCAGTGTAGTGCTATTATGGACTCTGTCACTACAGAGTAAGCGCTCTGTGGACTCAGAATGCGAGGGTATCTGGACGAAGTTTCCTAGAAACTTCTTCCCGATAACCCCCATTGCAAGGGTCCTTTGCACACAAGGGACTCCTCGCACGCGCATCATTCGCTGTTCAGTTCTGATCTGAAGCATAGTGCATATAGCAAGACTTTTCATTAAGTGTGAGACCATTCAAGTGTAATATTCGACAAGCATGAGATTTATGACACGATCAGATCAAAACTATCACAAATACATACGCGTCATAAAATCCATGTGAAAATGTATGTTACTCCATAGCATGGTCTGCCCAAGAATCGTAGGTCAATGAGGTCGTACATCTTATGATAATGGCACGTGGGAATGCACGTCCATATGCAAGGTCTGAAGAGGCGCCATTGTGGGACTCTTACGAGGAGTTAGAGGGTGTTACGATATGAAGCTTTATGAGAAGGCATTCCTGTATGCTGCAGGAGCTGACTCTACCGAGTACGAAGTCGAGGAGTCAGAAGAGTCGAAGCGACACAGCAACCGTCTGACTAAGGCCGATGCAGGCAGGAGCATTTGAAGTGAAAAGAGCGGGAACAGGTTTGAAACTGATTCCCGCGCCGCACGGTTTAAATTTCGCTACAATAAGGGAATGTACCCCTTAGAGTACATGGCTAGTCTAGGTCGTTTCGCATTCCTTTGTATTTCTATATAAACCCAATGTATGCATGCTAATATCAATCTCAGTCATTTACATTCACTCTGACCTGAGTTCACTACTTCCGCTGTGACACTACCTGCGATCAACCCTGAACGATCCTTTCGGACAAATCTCACTTCAGATTCTAACATGGTATGAGAGCTGCTCAGGGATTCTTCACAACGTCAACTCCGTAAAATTCGCCAAACCAAAACTGGCGAGCGGCACACGTTCCAAGACCAAGATGGCCGGAGGATCCGGAGGTCAAACAAATCTAACGGCCGAAGGACAAACCAACCCGGCTGCGACAAATGAGGAGACAACTACGATTGGCACTGCCGCGCTCGAACAGTTATTCGCTCGACTGCCAACAATGGAGAAAGAACTCCAAGATCTGCGCAAAGGCGATGCGGGAACCACTTCTCAACCAGTTCAACATGGACAACCAGCTGCGAAAAGCCGCGATACCGCCGCGCACGGCTTCTCCCTCGACTCAGACAAATCTGCAACAACTGCCCCTCGTCCAAGCGACGAAACCATCAACTCTGCGCAAGCACGCTTTCTCAGTGTGTCAAAGATCAAGACTACTGCCGCGTTTGACGGCAAGGATTTTTATACATGGAGTTTTGAGCTTGAGCTCCTCCTACTGACAGCGCAGATCTACCACTACTTCGACGGCTCCTATTCTAAACCGGTGGAAGACACCGAAGACGCCCGCGCTCAATACTACAGTGAGTCGCTCATGGCGTATAGCGTTCTGCTGCGCAACATGTCGCCGGCAGAACAGCTCGGCATCCGCTCCTATAAAGAGAGCGCCGCTCCGGCTCTTGAAGCTTGGAAGCACCTCGTGGAGGTATATCAGCCGAAGGATTCCGTCACTGCAAGCCGCCTCCTGCAACAACTCATGGAGACGAAGATTCGGCACGGGGAGAAAGCAAACAGTTACATCAACCGTTGTCGGAACATCCGTGATCAAATCATCAAGAACGGAAGTGCGATCTCGGAGGAGATATTCGTAAACATCATCCTCCAAGGACTTGGGCCCGAGTGGAAGCCCTGCAAGGCACTACTCCGACAACGAGGACAACTTTCCGAAGCCGCGCTATGCGCCGCACTGCTGACTGAACAGCAGGACATGGACTCGAGCAGAACGAGTTCCGCGCCACGCCGAGAGCGACTCGCCTTCTACACAGACAACCGTGAAGAGCGACGACAACCAAGGCGCCATTACTGCAAAATTTGCAAAACCTTCGGGCATTTAACGGATCGATGCAAATCCCGATCCAACTATCGGCACCCGAATTCCACTCACCACAACAACTGGGTCAGCCGACAAGACGCTCGTCACTCTCAGCCCCAACAAACAGTCTCCCGTCCTCCTGCACAACAACAACAACCACAGCAGTCACAAGGAGCTCAAGGAGGAGCTCCCAGAAACGTAACCGCAAACATGGCGACGCGACGCCGCCGCACTGCCGAACCTGACGAAGAAGAAGAACTTCAGGGAGTACTGCCGCAATCAGAGGAAGGGTGGAATAACCCCCTTACAGAAGATCACTACTACCTGCACGACGAAGACGAGCAAGATTGGAATCAGCCAATCACACTGCGGGAAAACCCGCCTCACGACAATCAACTCTACGTACCTGTCGGATGGAAGGAAGATGAAGACGCGCTGTTTCACAGCCGTTACAAGGCGACGCTGGTGACCCCGCGACTCGCGTTACTACTCCGCAACAACAACGACAAAGACAACTACAACACCTGGTACCTGGACAGCTGCTGCGGACAACACATGGTGGGGTCGACTCGCTACGTGTCAAACCTCAACCGAGCCCCCGCAACCTTCGTCACCGTTGCTAATAGCCACCAACTGCGTGCCAACTCCCAAGGCATTGTCTGTCAAACATTGCATGTTTATATTATGTAGGCTGTAGTGGGTTACACCTTAGGGGGTACTCAAAGTTAGGGTTTCCTACTTGTACCAAACTCTGTGCTAGTTCATTTCATTCCTGCTCAGTTATTCTGACATGGTATCAGAGCGGGTCCATCGCTAGGACCGTTCTTAGGGCCCACCGCTACCTACCTACCTACCTACCGTGCGCCTCTTGCGCCTACGCGCCCTCGTGCGCCCTACCCTACGTGCGCCCTCGTGCGCCCTACCCTACGTG